AGGTCGCAACTCACTTAGACAAAAAATAGATAACTTTCATTTTGCATTTTATTTTTTTCCAATAAATTATAAGAGACTTGTTACTTACTTAAATGAACACACATTATATCCTTATTTCACATGTTTTCATTATGTTCCAATATTTCATAATATATATGCTTTTTTTTTAATATATATGCATTTTATTTTGTAGTTTATGATGAAATTCTATATATTTTAAGTATAAGCAGACACTTATTTACACGAAATATGATAGATTTACTTAAATCCGCCTAGGCTCTAGGCTCTAACCCGCCGCCCGATTAGCGCCTAGCGTCTTTTAGAACCTTACTTGAGATATACCAAGACTTTTTCATACGTTTTCCTTAAAGTGATATTTGCCCCCACTCTAATATGAGTTTGCTAATGGGTCTAAAGCAAATCACTTCCAGGATACAACAAAGTTTGGAATTTTAGTTTAGCAAGAACTAAAATTCTCTTAAAATCTTCTAAAATGAAACTGTATGATTTTTATGGAGAGAAAGAGGATAATAAACTATTGTCTGAAGAATTGTATATCTGATTATGCAGCCAACATGGGCTCCCTGCAATCCATTAGTTGTGCTTTTCACAAACGGCACTGCAATCCATTAGTTGTGTTTTTTCAAACCAAGAGACAAGACACTGCAGCCAATCTTTCATCATACATGCAAAGACTGTTTGATGGAACATGCATCAACTCCCAAAGTTGTGGACGAGACATCATGGCAGCTACACATTCATACATATATAAATATATATTAATGAAATATACCAACAATCCTTCCTTATTTCAATAATATATATAGCTCATATACTTGGAAACATCTAGCAATTCTCCTCTATCTCAAAATATATAAAACTAGAAATATTATAATGAATCAATCTTTCTATCATTAACTTTAATCACATATGTTCATGCATACAAAAAGGTATCTTTTGATTTTAACCTTCAATTAGTGTAAGTATCTCAAGGTTCTTACAAATACAATAGTGGCCTTTCCATACCTTAAACTATGTATTTATCAGTCAAAGCCGGAAAATACTTCACACATGATCATATTATAACTTCCTTGGAGAAAATTTTGTATCTAGTTAGCACTATTATGGCAATGTGCTACATCATGGTTTCATAAACATTTACAAGAGAAAACCCAAAAAAACCCTTGGTAGAAGCGGCATCACTCCTTATGTTTGTATAGGTGAGGTTACTTGTACATGTTATGCTATTCGAACATCTTATATTATTATGCCTCATTAAGAATTTAAATTTCATCCTCTATATCATAGTAGTATGCACTGACATTTTGTAATAAGCTATATAAATTATTCAGTGCTTATTCAAACCACTTATCAGTAACTTATTATTACCCATTGAACTTTGGTTTAGTAATGTTCTAGGCAAAGTTGGGTTACTATTACTGGTGACTTATAGTAAAGGGATTCAGCCCCATTCCAGTAGATGTATTTTGTACCATATCTCTCCAGAGTCCCTTTGTAAAAGGATCTACCAAATTTTTATTTGACCTTACAAAAGTTATGTTAACAACTTCTTGTGTTATTAACTGTTTGACAAATTCATGTCTAAAGCTAATATGTCTAGATTTGCCATTATATACTTCGCTATAAGCTCTAGACAATGTAGCTTCACTATCGCAATACAAAGAAATAGATGGCATTGGTTGTGACCACAACTCTATGTCGAACAATAAATCTCTCAATCGTTCTGCTTCTTTGCATGCAGCTGCTAATGCTATAAACTTAGATTCCATAGTGGAATGTGATATAACAATTTGTTTATTTGATACCCAAGAAATAGCACCTCCCCCAATAGTGAATATCCATCATGTTGTGGATTTATTATCGCTTGCACTAGTAATCCAACTAGCATCTAAGTACCTTTCTAGTACCATTGGAAATTTTGAATAAAATAGATCCAAATTAGTAGTCTTTTAAGATAACCAAAAACTCTACAAATTGCTTTCCAATGTAAAGTGCTAGGATTGCTAGTGTTTTGACGCTTGTTTGAGACCATATAGTGATTTCACTAATTTACAAACCTTCTTTTCATTACCAGGCAGAACAAATCCTTCCAGCTGCTCCATATATACCTTTTCATCCAAATCCCCATTTAAAAAGGTTGTTTTCACGTCTATTTGATGTACATATAGATTATATACAGATGCCAAAGCAAACAACACTCTTAATGGAGGTGATTCTTGCAACTGGTGCATATGTGTCAAAGTAGTCAACTTCCTTTTTTTGTTTGAAACATTTGGCTACGAATCGGGCCTTGAAGGTTTGCAGAGAACCATCAGTATTATATTTCCTTATAAACACCCACTCACATTGGTTTAGATCCATGTGGTAAGTCAACCAAAGTCCATGTTTGGTTGGATAACAATAAGTTCATCTCATCATCTACAACTTCTTTTTAGAAAGCAGCATCTCTAGAAGTCATTGCTTCTTTTAAAGTTACAGGATCTTTTTCTACATTTAAAATGAAGGTTATTTTATGTAGAAAATTTTCTCTATTTCCTTCCACCAAAAATAAAATGGCTTCTGAAGATATAAAATTAGGACCTAAATTCTTTTCTTTTCTGACCCTTTGACTTTTCCTATGTTCTAGAACCTCTTCCGGTTCCTTTCTCTTTTGGTGCTAAAAATCGAACCGGGACTTTCTTTCGACACTGATTGTTGATTATGTTCTTCAACTGAACAAGGACTAGGGTCATTATAAAATTTATTCTCAAAGAACTCTACATCTCTTGACTCAACAATGACATTTGAGTTTACATCAAGCAATCTGTATGCCTAGAGTTCTGGGCATATCGCACAAAAATACTTTTTATACCTCTAGGACCTAATTTGGATCTTTTAGGGTTGTGAAACCTATAGAAGGACAAACACCCCTAAACTCTTAAACATACCAAATTTGGCTTTCTGCCATTCCATACTTCCTATGGTGACACATGAGTTTTTTTAGATGTAATTTTGTTTTGTATATAACATGCTGCAAGAAGAGCTTCACACCCCATAAATATGTAGGAACATTTGCACTTATGATGATTGAATTAATCATATCAGTGAGTGTCCTATTCTTTCTTTATGCTAAGTCATTTTTTTGTGGAGTGTAAGGTGTAGTTTTCTGATGAATGATTCCATGTTCTTCACAAAACAAAGAGAATTCATTTGAAAAATATACACCAATTCTATCACTCTGAATGATTTTAATTTTCATTTCTTTTTGGTTTTCAACCTCATTCTTATATCGTTTGAAAAACTCAAAGGCTTCATCTTTATTAGACATTAAATAAACATAAGTAAATCTAGAACAATCATCATTGAGAGTAATAAAATAACGTTTTCCTCCTCTAGTTAAAACACCATTAAACTCACATATATTATAATGAACTAAATCTAATATTTTAGTATTTCTTTCTACTTTCTGAAAAGGTTTCTTTGTAATTTTAGCTTGTGTGCATATTTCACAATTTTTAAATGTAACATCTTTACAAGAAATTAAACCATGTTTAGACAAATATTTTTAAAGATCTATAATTCAAACGTGCTAAACGACCATGTCATAAAATAGAAGAAGAGTAAAAAATAGAGAATTTTAACGAAAAGTTCATGGTACTGTTCACTTTAACGAAAACCCATATTTTTACACTAAAAAGTCAATCCTGGTACTATTCACTTTACCATTTATTTTGTCCTTATCGTTAAAACTCAAAGTTTTCAAACCCTTTTCATTAATTTTCCTTAAAAAATATAAAAGAAGGATTCATTTTAGGGTAAACTGTCGGTTTACCTCCTGAACTTTCACCTCACTTTCGATTTCCCCCCTGAACTTTTCTATTGGAAAATTAAGGACTCAAACTAATTTTTTTAGCCAATTTGCCCCTACCGTTAGTTTTTCATATATTCTATCCATATTTCCGTTAAGTGAGACCATGTGCATAACATGTGAGGATAGTTAAGTCATTTCAATTTAAAAATGATTAAAAACTGAAAATAAATAATAATAATAATTTTCCCTCTATTTTTTCCCGCTAATTCCTATCCTCAATTTTAATTTTTCCTCTCATTCCTATGCATGAGAAATAACATATGGTGTTATTGTCTTCATAAGTAGCTAAGTTAATCTTTTTTTTGAAGCATGTACTACCATTTTTATTTTCTCTAACAAATTAATAATTTGACAAATGCTTATGGTGTTATTGTCTCCAAAGCAGTGCATTAATATAAGAAACATGTCCATAAAAAAGACTAGGGTTTCTTATATTAATGCACTGCTTTGGAGACAATAGCACCATTAGCATTTATCAAATTATTAATTTGTTAGAGAAAATAAAAATGGTAGACAATAACACCATATGTCATTTCTCATACATAGGAATGAGAGGGAAAAATAAAATCGAGGATAGGAATTAGCGGGAAAAAATAGAGGGAAAGTTTTGCTTTTTTTATTATTTTTAGTTTTTTAATCATTTTTAAGAGTGAAATAACTTAACTATCCTCACATGTTGTGTACATGGTCTCACTTAACGGAAATATGGATGGAATATATGAAAAACTAACGGTAGGGGGCAAATTGGCTAAAAAAATTAGTTTGAGTCCTTAATTTTCCAATGGAAAAGTTCAGGGGGGAAATCGAAAATGAGGTGAAAGTTCAGAGGATAAACCGACAGTTTACTCTTCATTTTATTGATTGTGTGTTTGAACATTCTATTAAAAGAATAACCCTTGCCAATAAATACACCTTTTATTGCACGTGGCAGTGTCTGAAGAGACCCGCCGCAGACTGCCAAACGACGTCACTTTAATAAAGCATCCACCGCCAAAGACCAAAACCCAACTGACAATCCACCTCCAAAAGCATCTGCCTTCCCGCCACGTAAGATCATAGATCCCTTCCATACACACGGCGACATCGCACTGGCAGGACCACGATAAAAACATGTCCGCGCAACAGAGAATCTCTGATCCGGCCGCACCTTCCAGTCGTGTACGTAGTAAGCGTGGTCTGGATACCAACAGCAGCATCCGATATCTTCCGATTTCAGTCGGAAATTAGAAATCGCGGAGGAATGAGATAGCGATTTGGATTCTGGAAGGAAGAGAAGATGTTGGAGGATCAGGTGGCGAACCTCCTCCAGAGGTACTTGGGGAACTACGTCAGGGGGCTCAACAAGGAGGCCCTCAAGATCAGCGTCTGGCAGGGTTCGTTCTTTCCTTCCTTCCTTCGAGAAGAAACTTCCTTTTCCTGCTGCTGCTGCGTCTTCTACTTGGTTTTCCGATTCTCCTCTTTCTTTTGCAAATGTTTTACTCTTGTGCTTTGATTGGTTTTATTTACTGAATTTTTGGTTTCTGTGGATTGAATTGGGAATTGCTCGAAACGATGCGTTTCGAGTGGTGTCGATTGAATGCTAGGGTATATTTAGGGTTTTAGGGGAGGGTTTTGTAGTGTAGTGACCACTGGCGGATCCATTAAGGGGCATGGGGTCAGCTGACCCCTGAATTTTGATGAACGTCCATAGATACCTTAGTGCTGACCCTCCGAAATTCGGTGAATGTCCATGGATACCTTGAGTGTTGTCCTTTTGAAGATTAGAGGTGGCTTCATACTTGCCCTCCAACCAACTTTAGGCCTACCAAAACCCGATGAATGTCCGTGAATACCTTGGGTGCTGCCCCTTGCATACATAAACATGTAGTATGCATTTTCAAATGACTTTCAGGTCTACGAAGTCTCGATGAAATGGCAATATGCATGCTATTTCTGGTATAAAAAAATTTGCGCATTGCCCGCGCTATTCTTACTGACCCCCTAATATTATTTCCTGGATCTACCACCGGTAGTGACACTCTACTAGCTGCTTGGGGTCGGTTGCCAACTTGCCATTGCCAATAGGGAAAAATGAGAAATGGGTTTCTAAATGTCAATGACATTGTACCAACTGTCCATTTCGTCGCCCAAGAAAATTAGTCACATCAGAATTGGTTTAGCCATTTGGGTATAACGATGAGCATTTCAGTGTTTGTAAGGACTAAGAAGCACAATGTCCATCTATTCACTTTACTAAACTTAGATGGCTACATGGTTTTCAATTTGGTTACCATTGTAGTGAAAATGAAAGGGGCCTGAGGGATATATAGTTTGGCTACAGGGCGGGGCAGTTCCTGCATGCAGTCTTCACTCTTCAGGATAAGTCCTCAATGAAATGCCACTGCATATAAATACACAGACGCATATATATGCAAATAAATGCACATTTAATTTTTTGGGCAGAAATATGAGTAACAATAACAAAATTAAATATCTACTTGACACTGAGTCTCATCTTGGGCATGCTTAATGGGCTTCGACATTTCCACGGTTCAGAGACTATGGTTTTCCTGTTACACTGTCGTGTGGGTAGCTGTACTGTGTCTTAGCGTCTTGTTCTTGTTGTGCGTGCTTCTTGGCTGTAGTTTACTTTGAGAATGGCTGTTTATTCATTTCTGAGTGATTGCAAGTCAGGTCTTCTTGGCAAGAAGAAACCCTGTCCTTTGTCTTGTTCTCTTCCAGTTTTCCCTTAGTCAGAAAGGAATCAGCGGATCTTTGAAGATGTTAGGGGGTTGGAAGTGGAGGACGTGTGGGAGATAATCTGGAGGATTTGCGAATCCCCCCTGCTTATGTTAAAACTTTCCAGGGCCCGCCTCATGGTCAGGTTTTGGCCAGTGCTTTGGGCTTATGTATCTCCTATTCTTAGGAGCAGATCACTATCCGATCTATTCTAGCTTGGAAAACTATGTTGTCATGACTAATTATTGTTTCTTAAGCTAGGTGTAGTTTGTTGATTTAACGTTCGCTTCTATACTCATGGTGGATTACTCATCCACTTTACTGCACAGTTTCTCTTATGTATCACACTTTCATCTTTTTGTTTCAAAAAGGAAAAAAAAAATTATTATGCTAGAGCCTGAGAACTGTATTACATACATCTTGCTATAATGTGAATCAGGTGATGTGGAGCTAAAAAATATGCAGTTGAAGCCCGAGGCACTCAATGCACTAAAATTACCAGTGAAGGTTAAGGCAGGATTTCTTGGATCAGTGAAACTTAAGGTGCGGGACTAACATTAATGTTTATTATTATGTTGATTTTCTTTGTTTATTTGAATGTCCATCAGCTCCTGATTGGACAATAGGGGAGAAGTTTGGCTTCATTCTCATGATTGTCTGTATTATGTTTGGAAGTCTCATGTAATTGCCTTGGATTTATCTCATAATAAAATTGAACTCATGTATATATCATTTGGTGGCTTTACAAGATAAATTTGCTGATATGTGGAATTTTTATCATTGCCTTGGTTTCATAATAAAAATGAACCTGTGTATATAAGTAATCTTGGTGGCTACTCTTTATGTGTGAAAGCTTTGCAGTTATTCAGGGAGGAAAGAGTGTCAAGTATAGTGGGGATGTGGGATTTTAGAGGTTTTTTTTTTGACTAATTTGGGTTGGATAAGCTTTTTGATAAGGTTAAGTATTGGTCCTCACTATGGGCTTCAGTCATGAAAGAGTTGAGGATAACCCCTTTCTGCTATTCTTCTGTAGTGGAAAGATGCAGGATGCCATATAGGTTGGGAATGGGGGCCATTTTGGAAGTGGAAATGGTTGTATGTAGGTTTCCACGTTGTGTGCTTTGTCTTGTTTACTGAAATGGGTCAGTGGTGCACCGTGATGTATTTTTGCTAAGTAAAAAATTGTTAGCTTATTTAAAAATAAAGGAAGGTAACCATTCATTAGCTTTCAAGGAACAATTTGGAAATGTAAGCAGAGATGTCAAGATGTTCGATGCAGTATAGAATTCAAAACATTGTTCTCGTAAGGGTTTCCTAGTTAAATGAGGTACAGGAAAATAGTTTCTTTGGAGTTGTAAGGGTACCGAATGACTCGAATTGTAGTAGTTATTATTAGTCGTGCGGTAATGTCATCAACTGGCAATTCAAAGTCTTTTGGTTTGGAAGATGTGATGTCAGTGGAATTCAATATTTTCTGCAGTATATATTTGGTGCAAATATATATGTGTGTGTGTGTAATTTTTTCCTGCTGTTTTTCTTCCCTTCATTGCAGGCTTGAATTGCTTTTTGTTTTCCTGTTTAATTGATTTTATTTGCAGTGGTATTATTTTTAACTAATTGTTTTTTAAAGCCCTCCACTGTAATAATTTACAGATAGTATTCCATAGATAGCTATCTAAATCCTTAATTTTTTTTTTCTTCAATTTGTGTTTTCTTCTGTTCTCTTTGGTGAAAATGGTGAAGGGATTGGTGCATAATTTCAAAGTGACACCAGATGTTATGTTAATGGATGATGTATTATAACTTTGGGATGAACATATTGTTGGATGATTGCAATTTTCACCTCCTATTTACTTCCTTATTACAAACTTTTTTCATTTTCGAAGTTACTGGCAATATTTTGTTTGTGTGGAATATTGTTCACCTATGATATTTGTAATTAAGTGCCTTTCTCCAATGAGGTTATTTTATTTTCTTGAACCAAGGTTCCATGGAGCAGGCTTGGCCAGGATCCAGTTTTAGTTTCTTTGGACCGCATCTTTCTATTAGCTGAACCTGAAACTCAAGTTGAAGGATCCAGTGAGGATGCTGTACAGGAAGCTAAGAAAAACCGAATTCGGGTGAGACATAGTAATCGGTTTGTGGAATGAATAGTGTTCTTTGCCAATAGCTGAGTGACCATTTTGTACTTTTCCCTTGTAAATAGGAAATGGAAATGAAGCTGTTAGAGAGGGCGCAGCAACTAAAGTCAGAAATGGTAGGATTGACCATAATCCAAGTGCTATGACTGAATTTTGCCATTATTAAAATTTGATATTACTAGGTTTGCACGTGTGCCTACATATATATAATGTACACTGTACAGTGTACACATATCCAATTTATCTTGCACCTGAGAATATAGCTTTACCTATGCGTATGTATAATGTACACTGTACACATTTTTTCTTCCATTTCAGAATATGGCTTGCTTTTATCTTCGTTGTCCTTGCTCCTACACGTTTGTTTGAAATCCAATATTCGCTTGATTATGGTTATGCTCAATATTGAATTAACTTTATCTTCCATGTATTTGGAATTTCTATGTTCTTTATGTTTTATAATTCTACTATTTATAATTTGTTTTTCTTTGAAGAATACATCATGGTTGGGATCCCTGATCAGTACAATAATTGGAAATTTGAAACTTTCAATATCAAATATTCACATCAGATACGAGGATTTTGAAAGGTAAAGGAAACAAAAAGCCTCTTTAAATGTTCTGGTATTTTTAATTCCTATGTCTTGGGCTTATGCTTTATGTCTTTTATGCTGTAGCAATCCGGGCCATCCGTTTGCAGCAGGCATAACCTTGGAAAGTCTTTCTGCTGTGACAGTTGATAACAACGGAATGGAAACATTTGTCACTGGGGGTTCTCTAGACCGTATACAGAAGGTTTCTTATTATCATGTCATATGAAATTATAATTGCCACACAATATTCAGTTACTCTTCCGCATTTAAAATGTTATAAGTACATATGCTTTTGTAAGAAAAAAGGACTTTCGTCAATGGAAAATGAGAGAATGCATTACATAGAAAAGGGTTTCCACTGACCTCCTGTTCTTCACTAAAAAATCTGTAAACAATAAAACAAACAAAGAAGATACAATGTAACAAGAAAATAAACAAAATAAACAACAAAATAACAGAAACAGAATAGTCCCAACTCTGAAGCCATAGCAGCCCGTAATGATGCCGAAGTTATTTAATATTCTCTTATACCACTCCATCCAAACTTCCCCAAATGTTTTGCAATGTTGCTGTATTTTCATGTATTGTTTGGTTTTTTTTTTTTTTATATTGATTTCTTACATTGCTGGGATCTTTCAATGACTGATTAAAACTGTCTATTTTAGAAAAAATTTCTATTACTTGTGAATCACTTGGCTTCATCAATATGTTGGTCCCTACCATGTTTGTTCACACTATGATCTGGCATTGTTTGCAGTCTGTTCAACTTGATCAGCTTGCACTTTATTTGGATTCTGATACTGCTCCATGGCATGTTAACAAACCATGGGAGGATTTACTTCCATCAGAGTGGGTCCAGGTATATGCTCAAGGAATCCTTTTTAACACTAATAAATATTAAATAGAGCAGACATACCTGCGTGTACATGTGCATACACATTTATTATATTAATTTTGGCACTTCAGGTTTTTAGATTTGGAACTGAATATGGTAAACCAGCGAATAGATTAGCCAAAAGGCACACTTACATACTGGAACCTGTGTCTGGAAATGCCAAGTACTCAAAACTACGTCCAAATGAATTTGCTGATAGCGGCCAGCCTTTACACAAAGCAGCAGTTAATTTGGATGATGTGACTCTCTGCTTGCCAAAGGTTAATTTCCATCTTACTTCAATCCTTTCAGATTTGGTGCTGGGAGGTAATTTGATTCGCTTAAAAGCTGTTGAGTATTATTTATTTCAGGATGGATACAGGGATGCGCTAAAGTTAGCAGATAATTTTGCTGCATTTAATCAGCGATTGAAGTATGCTCATTATCGTCCACACGTCTCTGTAAAATCTGACCCTAGATCTTGGTGGAAGTATGCTTATAGGGTTGTTGCTGACCAAATGAAGAAGGCAAGGTATCAGCTCCTGTTGTTTTAATTTTTTTTTTAATTTAATTTTGTATTTTTATTTTTGAATTATCCTCCCATATGAATTGTTTGTGTAACTTGTGTTTCTGATGGATTTCTTGGCCATAGGCTAAAAAGCTGACATTTTCTCCCACAATTTTGGAATACTTATTTGAAAGAATAAAGAAAAGGGCTTCCTATCTAACCAGCTAATTTAGTTTTTCTTAAGGGAGTTGTCATGAAAAGGGCTTGGGTTAAGTAATTTAATAAAAAACCATGCTATAACTTTATTTAATGAAAAAAACTTAAATTTTAATGAAAAACCCTTAAACTTTTAATAAAGAGGACAAAAGAACTTAAATTTGAATGAAAATGACACAATTTTAATATTAAAAAAAAAAAAAACCCTACGCGACTGGATGCGTCCATCACAGACACTATTTATGAAACAATACTACACTGTTTATGAAACTTAATGGTACTATACTATTTATGAAACTACAGTACTATACTATTTATGAAACTAAACGGCAGTACACTATTTATTGTCCAGATTCATAAATAGTGCCTAGTTCTTGGTTCACTTTTGTAAATAGTGCTTAGTTATTGGGTCATGTTCCATAAATAGTGTATAGTAATTGGTATAGATTCATAAAAAGTGTCTCATTCTTTATCCAGTTTCATAAATAGTGCCTAGTTCTTGGTCCACTTTCATATATAATGCCTAGTTCTTCGTCATGTTTCATAAATAGTGTCCCTTTCTTGTTCTAGTGTTTTATATTGAACTCTTTCAATTTTTTATATTTTCTAATCAAACAAAGAACCAATTAGAACTGGAGGTAATTGAAAATTCATATGGTTCACAACTCAGTTTTTTTTGGAGTTCCTTGTGTTATGTTAATGAACTCCACAAGTTCTCTAAGAATGCTTTTTTATTTTCTTGCAAAACAAACCCCTTCTCCTGCAAGTTTTTTTTATGAATCCCCTTTCTCCTGCCATCAATCACTCCACATAAATATTTTTTTTAAAAAGTTGTGGCATACATTTTAAATGGATAAAAAACTCCATAGAAGCAAATACATAAGCTGTGAAAAAGCACCAGCACACCATACCAAACAAAATCTGGAAAAAAACGCTGTGCAATTGCACGCTTGTAGTTAGGTTGTTTTGTTTTTTTTTCTTGTCCTTATCATTCAATAGAGTTATAGGATGGTTTTTGGTTAAAATTAAAAGTTTTGAAGCCCTTTTCATTAGTTTATCTTTTTCTTTTTGGGTATTGTTATTGGCACTCCAAAAATCTCGTTGTGCACTCCAAACTTTCTATACTTAGAAACAAAATACACTTAGGAGGAGAGGAGTGCACACAGAGATTTTTGGAGTGCCAATAACACTACCCATTTATATTTTTCAATGCATTCTAATTTGTGCAATTTTTGTTCACGTAATGAAACTGACAGTGAACTTCATTTGTATGCTCTGAAACAAAAGTTAGAATTATATTTTTATATTTGCTTAAGTAATATCTTTGTGGCAGTGGGAGATTGTCCTGGGACCATGTTCTGAAGTGTGCAAGCTTGCGTAAAAGATATATCTCTCTATATGCTTCACTTCTTAGATCTGATCCTAGTCGGGTGGTAGTTGACGACAACCAAGATATCGAGGAGCTAGATCGTGGGCTTGATATTGAACTCATACTCCAGTGGAGGTATTCTTTTCTGCGTAAATGTATTATTTATTAGTTTCTGATGGTAATAGTGCTACACACAGCACGTGTTTGTACCATATTATAGTAGCACATCATGTGGCAAGTGAAGTGTACGTGCCGTGTCATTTAGTGGAACCATCTTCTTGGGTATTGATTGTTTAAGTCACTTGTCAAGTGGTATTAAAATGCGGTATGCTTAGTGATACTCTTCTGGTAGTTATTGGTACTTGTTGAAACTGTTTTGTTTCTATACAACATTTTTAACTGTTTTGGTGGCTTTAAGTTTATTTGCTTAGATATAACACTGTATATAACTTGAAATGGTTTTATGTCAGATGGATTTTGATGGTATTGTGGTATCATTCGTGCAGGATGTTGGCTCATAAGTTTGTAGAGCAGTCATTAGAGTCGGATCTTGACTTGAGGAAACAGAAAGCAAAGAAATCTTGGTGGTCGTTGGGATGGTAATAATTTTACTTTCAAATTTGAAACTAGGTTGTTCCTTGTTCGAGACCCTACTTATTTGCATATACCGTAGCTTGATATTAGTCTTTCTTTGCCTTCATTTTATGTACTGTTCCAGGGGGAGTCAGTCTGAGATAGATGAGAGCGAGCCATTTAGTTTCAGTGAGGAAGACTGGAAGCAGTTAAATAGCATCATTGGGTATAAGGAAAGTGACGATGGTCTCTCAGTTTTAAGTAATGGCAAGGTGGATGCCCTTCAGACATCCTTGAGCATTTGCATGAAACATAATGCTACTAAGCTTATTGATGAGTCCCTGGAGTGTCTTGCTGAATTATCATGTGAAGGCTTGGATTGCTTTATAAAGCTTTATCCAGAGACAAAAGTTTTTGACATGAAATTAGGATCATACAAGTTATCCACGCCAAGTGGTCTCCTTGCAGAGGTAGGCCTTTATCCTGATGTGTTCTTTGTCATTTTCCGATCAACATTTGTGGCTCAGTTCCCTACGTGATTAGTAAAACCACATATCATCTACTTACCCTGCAGAGTGCGAGTACCTATGATTCTTTAGTTGGCACATTCTGTTATAGGCCTTTAAACAAAAATGTGGACTGGAGCTTGGTTGCTAAAGCTTCTCCTTGTTATGTGACGGTAGGTTTCTGCTACGACTGAATTATTTGTTCCTCTAAGTGGTGATTTTTTACTGATTTTATCTCTTTGGCAGTATCTAAAGGACGTAATCGGTCAAATTATCAAATTCTTTCGAAGTAATACAGCTGTCAGTCAGAAAATAGCATTGGAAACTGCAGCTGCAGTGCAGGTTCTATCTAGCGTGTGCTAATTTTTGAAATATGCTTAAATAGTTGTTTAAACTAGTATCCTTGCTTTCTGCTGTTGGACATGTTACAATGTTCCAGTCATTGTGTGTGTATGTGTGTTTCTTCTATTTGAAGATTGTTGTTTGAACTTCCCAAAGTATTAAATCTGAATTATTAGATTGGCATGTAATTCATGGGTTTAAATACTGGGGGACTTTTAGAGCAAATACATGGAAGAAATTAGGAAAAAAATATTAAATATTCAAGGGAAACATGCATGCATTGGACAAATTCTTTAGCGTGTTTTTATGCCATGTCACTTCTGACTTTCCCTTGGTGTCATAATGCATGATAAAGAAAATGTACATAATATTGTGAGGATGCTAAATGAAGTACAGAACTTACTGCTTTTTTTTTTTTTTTTTTTTTTTTTTTTGTGGAACATGCTCAAGATGGAATGTGCAAGAATTCAGTGAAACAGTGATTATATTGTTTACCATGGCTTCATTGACCTATGGCTGCCTGTTATTCTGTTCTCCCAAGCATGGTGGTCAAGTTTGGGATTAATGGCATACAAACTGTCTTGTTCATTTTGTACCAGATGACAATCAATGGAGTCAAGCGCACAGCTCAGCAACAAGTGAATAGAGCATTGAAGGACCATTCCAGGTTTTTTAATTAGGTTCTTTGTTTCTTTTTATGGAGTAACTTGAGTCCTTCCTGTTAAATTTTGTATTGATCATTTCAAGTGAGGGATAGTTGTGCAATTGTAAAAGGGCTCTGGAAGTGCTGATTATATATACCCAGGTATACAGTATAGTAGGGGCCCTTCTAGGTGGACATATATATATATATGTAGGGTTAGGACCAGGATACACATTTTGACAGCCTTTTTTGTAAAGACCACGTCATAATGTCTTTCAACAGTCTGAACCGCCTATCTTTAGGTCTTCCCTCAAAGGTCACGTCTACCAAAAATCACCCAAACTTGAATTGTATGACCGTTGCATATAATGAGTCATTTTAGTGTTTCTTTGCAAAACCGTAGTCGTTCATTTTCTTCACTGTAAACGAATGTCTTAATGGTTTTGGATTTGTCTAATTTTTTTGGAAGAATGATCTATGAATGATGAATTAAAATATAGACGGTTTGGATGTTGAGAATGAATCCTACATGGATGGGAGAAGGGACCTTGCGTGGGCTTTTAAGTAAGTTGGGCTACTCCCCATATTGCCAATTGGTTTATGGTGGTACTCAACTTTTTTCATGGTATTAGAGCAGGTTGTCCCACGTATGAAGCTAAACGGCCACACATGCTCCATGTCACCCTGTTGTGTTGTCCATGTGTTAGGCTCGAAAATTCGCCACATGTTAGGGGACGTGTTGAGAATGGATCCACATTGATGGGAGTAGAGACCTTGCTTTGGCTTATAAGTAAGTTGGGCTACTCCCTATATTGCCAATTGGTTTTATGGTGGAACCTCAACTTTCTTCATTGGATACTAGAAAAAAAGTTAGGAGTGGGTCCTACAAATGTGTGCCAAAAAATGGGGGTCCCCCGATCCTAACCCGTGTGTGTGTGTGTATATATACAAATATTTGTCTTGCATTCTCGTGTCACGTGGGATAGGTTTTAGACTGCTGTGGGGTTGGCCTCATAGTTGCTATAGCTTTCTAGTGGAAAATGATTTGGGCATCGGAGCCAACAAAAGGCAATTCTTCTTTGATAGTGTGTGCCATTGACCTTCATGGACTGTACTGTATGCTTGGAAATGAATGTAGTTTATTTTTTTATTTTTATGCAAAGGTGTAGTAAGTGGGATCACTATGGAGTAGAATTAGATTTGTACACTCATTTGGCTTCTGGTTAATGTATTTTAGGACTTTTAGAGAACCTCGTATGCGTTTCAGGGATTTTTGAGTTTCTTGTTTGATGATTATTTTGATGGACTTCCCATCTATTTGTGATTTCTGATTATTTTCTTAATAAAAGTACGTGATGCTTTAGCTTCTTTATGTTTATTTTATTAATGTATTATATTCTTTATCATTTATTATCTTCTGTTAGGTTTTTGTTGGACCTGGATATTGCAGCCCCCAAGATTACAATTCCTACTGATTTTTGTCCCGACAACAAGCATCCAACAAAGCTCATGCTTGACTTGGGAAAGTTGGTTATTGGTACCAAGGTTAACAACAAAGCTCATGCTTGACTTGGGAAAGTTGGTTTTTGGGAATGTTTGTTTCTTCTAAAAATTTACATCAAGCTTAAAAATGCATGCAGGATAGCTGTGAAGATGGATCACAAGAGGAGCTAGATTTGTATCTGCAGTTTAATTTAATTTTAAGCGATGTATCTGCTTTTCTTGTTGATGGTGACTACTGTTGGAGCCAATCTCCTTCAAAGAAGTCTTCTAGTTCTGCCAACTCAAATGGTGGTACAAATGGTGTTAGTTTGTTGCCTTTGTTTGATAAGTGCGGGGTCAATGTAAACCTTCAACAGGTATACGCTGGGACCTTTTTAGCTTAAAATGGAAGCATGTTTTTCTGTTGAATGTGAAAAGATTGTTTCTGATGTTTTTAGTTTTATTTTGTCACTTTATCCAGATTAGATTAGAGCGCCCATCCTACCCGTCAACAAGAGTTGCTGTACGGCTGCCATCATTAGGGTTTCACTTCTCTCCAGCTAGGTATCATCGATTGATGCAAATTGTTAAGATGTTTGAGGAGGAGGATAGTGAGGACTCAGATCTTCTTTGCCCTTGGAATGAGGCTGATTTTGAGGGGTGGTTGTGTCTTCTTACACGGAAGGTTTTTCTCTCTCGTGCTGTCTTTCAATCAATCAATCTATCCCTTTTTTTTTTTTTTTTTTCCCACTCATCCCCAAAACAAACGAACACTTTCTAAAAAGTTTCATGTCTATTATGTAGTGCTATGTTTGAATATCTATGCTCATTTATTTATTTTAATGTGAAGGGTCTTGGAAATAGGGAAGCAGTGTGGCAGCGGCGCTACCTATGCTTAGTTGGGCCTTTCCTTTATGTACTTGAGAGCCCTAGCTCGAAATCGTACAAACAGTGTATCAGGTTCTGATGCCAACTTTTCCTTGATATTATCTGTCTATCTAAAAGTAAGGTATGTTAGGAAAAACAACAACAACAACAACAACAACAACAAAGCCTTTTCCCACTAAGTGGGGTCGGCTATATGAATCCTAGAACGCCATTGCGCTCGGTTTTGTGTCATGTCATCCGTTAGATCCAAGTACTCTAAGTCTTTTCTTAGAGTCTCTTCCAAAGTTTTCCTAGGTCTTCCTCTACCCCTTCGGCCCTGAACCTCTGTCCCGTAGTCACATCTTCGAACCGGAGTGTCAGTCGGCCTTCTTTGCACATGTCCAAATCACCGGGGCCGATTTTCTCTCATCTTTCCTACAATTTCGGCTACTCCTACTTTACCTCGGATATCCTCATTCCCAATCTTATCCTTTCTCGTGTGCCCACACATCCCACGAAGCATCCTCATCTCCGCTACACCCATTTTGTGTACGTGTTGATGCTTCACCGCCCAACATTCTGTGCCATACAACATCGCTGGCCTTATTGCCATCCTATAAAATTTTCCCTTGAGCTTCAGTGGCCTACGACGGTCACACAACACGCCGGATGCGCTCTTACACTTCATCCATCCAGCTCGTATTCTATGGTTGAGATTTCCATCTAATTCTCCGTTCTCTTGCAAGATAGATCCTAGGTAGCGAAAACGGTCGCTTTTTGTGATCTTCGCTAGATTGCTCCGGTCATTAGTGTGGATAAGTATATAAATGGATAGAGATAGGAAAGCAAACACAAGATGTACGTGGTTCACCCAGATTGGCTACGTCCACGGAATAGAAGAGTTCTCATTAATTGTGAAGGGTTTTACACACAAGTACATAGGTTCAAGCTCTCCTTTAGTGAGTACAAGTGAATGATTTAGTACAAATGACATTAGGAAATATTGTGGGAGAATGATCTCGTAATCACGAAACTTCTAAGTATCGGAGTGGTGTGTCGTCTTGACTTGCCTTATCTGTCTCATAGGTAGATGTGGCATCTTCTCTGGAAGTACTTTTCCTCCATCCAGGGGTGGTATCTTTAACTGGTGGAGATGCACAAGGTAATGTATCAATTTCACTTGAAGCTTACTTGTAGTTTCAGGCTTGGTCAAGCGCGATACAAACCATGTAGTAGGAGTCCCCCAAGTCGCCGAGCTAGGGGGTCTGCTGAAAAGAGGTGACAGACAAGGTAAGCAATCAGAGCTCCGACTGATTGTTCACCTTCTCCCCATCTTGCAACAGCATGAAGGATAAAGAGAAGAAAAATGAGAAGAGATGATATGAGATACTTTTGCTTTTGAAGAAGTAACTTTCCACAGGCTTATTCTTGAACTGAGCTGGAGGGTTTTCTGGTTTCCTCCAGAGTATAAGGCCGACTGAAGAAGAATTTGAGGGTCAAAACAAGTCCATCAAATCTAGAGTACGTTCCACCCTGCTGATATGGGATACTTTTGCTTTTGACAGAGTAATGGATGTATCGGCACGTGTGCTGTTACGCTTGTCTCCACATGCTTCCTTGTATCCTTCGCACTTGCCCTATCTGTTCCTCAAGCAGATGCGGAATCTTCCTTGGAAACATAAGATGTTGAAGATGAGTACTCGAGAGCAATGCCAGGTAAGTAATCAGGTAAGGGGTTCCAGGCAGTCAGTTCCTGGCTGGAAGCTTGATTCCAAGTGCTGACTGATTGCTCTCTTTTCTCCTTGTCTTGCAGGTAAAAACAAGGCCAAAGGAAAAGATAGGGAAAAAGCATGATATGGGATACTCTTGCTTTTAACCCTGATGATATGAGATATTCTTGCTCTAGTATAGCTTGTTTGCAGAGGTATTATCGGGGGGAAAGAAAGCTGAATATTTCGAAAGGCTTCGTTGGGAGTGCCCCTCTCAGATATGATGATGAAGGGTTGAGCATTTTTGCAGGTCTGCCTGTCCGTTGGGGATGGAGGTTGACATATATAGGCGTCTCCCTAACAACAAGTAGTAATGCTATTCCTTTACCCTGCTTGGTCATAGCACGGTAGTGGGAGCTGTCAGTTTCACATGTTTTAACTCTGTCAGAGCACTTTGAAAAAGTGGTCCTGGCTCTCGAGATTCGGAGAACGATGCCTCTTCGATTTTTGAGAAAGCAATCATGCTGGGGGTCTGGCTCTCGAGATTCGGAGAGCAGTGTCTCTTCGATTTTTGAGTAAGTAATCATGTTGGGAGTCTGGCTCTCGAGATTCGGAGGGCGGTGCCTCTTTGATTTTGGAGCAAGCAATCTTGTTGGGAGTGTTGTCTCGAATTTGAGTAAAGGTTGGGCATGTTTGCTAGTCTACCTTGCCACGAAGCACAAAGGTTGACACATAGGGACTTTCCAATTATCCAGCAATGGTACTGTTCCTTTACCCTCTCTTCGATTTTGAGAAAGTAGTCATGTTGGGAGTCTGGCTCTCGAGATTCGGAGGACGGTGCCTCTTCGATTTTGGAGCAAGCAATCTTGTTGGGAGTGTTTTCTCGAATGTGAGTAAAGGTTGGGCATGTTTGCTAGTCTACCTTGCCACGAAGCACAGAGGTTGACACACAGGGACTTTCCAATTATCCAGCAGTGGTACTGTTCCTTTACCCTTGTGGGTAATATATATGGTAGCTAGACCTTCAAAATTTATGTGTCTAAACTTTGTTAGTGCTGTTTCTTTGCTATTCTTTTACCTTTCTTGGTCAGAGCGATGTAGTGGGAGCTGCAAGCTTCACGTGCTCAACTTTGGCAGAGAACTTTGACAAAGTTATCTGTGGTACCCATGAGCTATTGTTGCGTGTGGGAAGTGGGTAATTGAATAGTAAGATTCATGTGCTTTCTACTTCACTAGAAATCTTCGACAGAATGCCCATAATTTCTGCAAAGCGGAGTGTGCGTGTGACAGGTGCTGACAAGGCTAGAAAAGTAGGTGCCTCTTCGATTTCTGAGATCGGCCCTCGTGGTCTCTGAGCAGCCCAGCTTTTGAGAAAGCGAGCGCCTCTTCGATTGATTCGGAGAACGATGCCTCATCGATTTTTGAGAAAACAATCATGCTGGGGGTTTGGCTCTCGAAGATTCGGGGAGCAGTGTCTCTTCGATTTTTGAGAAAGTAATCATGTTGGGAGTCTGGCTCTCGAGATTCGGAAGGCGGTGCCTCTTCGATTTTGGAGCAAGCAATCTTGTTGGGAGTGTTTTCTCGAATGTGAGTAAAGGTTGGGCATGTTTGCTAGTCTACCTTGCCACGAAGCACAGAGGTTGACACACAGGGACTTTCCAATTATCCAGCAGTGGTACTGTTCCTTTACCCTTGTGGGTAATAATATGGTAGCTAGACCTTCAAAATTTATGGGTCTAAACTTTGTTAGTGCTGTTTCTTTGCTATTCTTTTACCCTTCTTGGTCAGAGCGATGTAGTGGGAGCTGCAAGCTTCACGTGCTCAACTTTGGCAGAGAACTTTGGCACAGTTATCTGTGGTACCCATGAGCTATTGTTGCGTGTGGGAAGTGGGTGATTGAACAGTAAGATTCATGTGTTTTCTACTTCCCCAGAAGTCTTCGACAGAATGCCCATAATTTCCGCAAAGCTGAGTGTGCGTGTGACAGGTGCTGACAGGGCTGGAAAAATAGGTGCCTCTTCGATTTCTGAGATCGGCCCTCGTGGTCTCTGGGGAGCCCAGCTTTTGAGAAAGCGAGCGCCTCTTCGATTTCTGAGATCGGCCTTCGTGGTCTTTGAGCAGCCCAACTTTTGAGAAAGCAAAAAGCCTCTTCGATTTCTGAGATCAACCCTCGTGATCTCTAAGCAGCTCAGCTTTTGAGAAAGCAAACGCCTCTTCGATTTCTGAGCAGGCGCCTCTTCGATTTCTGAAGCTCCGTCGAGTGCAGATTTTTATAGGGGCTGGCATTAAGTTCTAAAGCACACTTGAATCTCCACCAGTAGAAGCTTCATTCTTGCACTTCTAAGATCTTGATTTGTCCGACCTCTTCTCTCTTCAACACCTTTGAAAATGTCTGGCCCCTCCGACCGTCGTTTTGACTTGAACCTTGTTGAAGAGGCAGCCCCGCCTTCTCCAGACAACATATGGCGCCCATCCTTCGTCTCCCCTACTGGTCCTCTTACCGTTGGGGATTCCGTGATGAAGAATGATATGACCGCTGCGGTGGTGGCCAGGAACCTTCTCACTCCCAAAGATAACAGACTACTTTCCAAACGGTCTGATGAGTTAGCTGTTAAGGATTCGCTGGCTCTTAGTGTTCAGTGTGCAGGTTCTGTGTCTAATATGGCCCAACGCCTATTTGCTCGAACCCGCCAAGTTGAATCATTGGCGGCTGAAGTGATGAGTCTCAAACAGGAGATTAGAGGGCTCAAGCATGAGAATAAACAGTTGCACCGGCTCGCACATGACTATGCTACAAACATGAAGAGGAAGCTTGACCAGATGAAGGAAACTGATGGTCAGGTTTTACTTGATCATCAGAGATTTGTGGGTTTGTTCCAAAGACATTTATTGCCTTCGTCTTCTGGGGCTGTACCGCGTAATGAAGCTCCAAATGATCAACCTCTGATGCCTCCTCCTCCTTCTAGGGTTCTGTCCAGTACTGAGGCTCCAAATGATCCCCCTCCGGTGCCTTCTCTTTCTGGGGCTCTACCGACTGCTGAGACTTCTCCTAAGCAACCTTTGTGAAGGCTCCCTCTTGTGTGTTTATTTTGACTCATGTATATGTACATATTTGTAGCTTATCGGGGATATCAATAAATAAGCTTTCCTTCATTTCAACGTATTGTGTTAAATACACCAAAGCCTTCTTCGCTAAGTTCTTTGAATTTTCTTTTGTTGAAGCTTGTATGTTGAAGCTTTCTGAGTGGAGCATGTAGGTTGGGGTAGTGTTCCCTTAATTTCCCGAGTGAGGAAAACTTCTCGGTTGGAGACTTGGAAAATCCAAGTCACTGAGTGGGATCGGCTATATGAATCTTAGAACGCCATTGTGCTCGATCCTGTGTCATGTCCTTCGTTAGATCCAAGTACTCTAAGTCTTTTCTTAGAGTCTCTTCCAAAGTTTTCCTAGGTCTTCCTCTACCCCTTCGGCCCTGAACCTCTGTCCCATAGTCGCATCTTCTAATTGGAGCGTCAGTAGGCCTTCTTTGCACATGTCCAAACCACCGTAACCGATTTTCTCTCATCTTTCCTTCAATTTCGGCTACTCCTACTTTACCCCGGATATCCTCATTCCTAATCTTATCCTTTCTCGTGTGCCCACACATCCAACGAAGCATCCTCATCTCCGCTACACCCATTTTGTGTACGTGTTGATGTTTCACCGCCCAACATTCTGTGCCATACAGCATCGCCGGCCTTATTGCCGTCCTATAAAATTTTCCCTTGAGCTTCAGTGGCATACGGGCGGTCACACAACACGCCGGATGCACTCTTCCACTTCATCCATCCAGCTTGTATTCTATGGTTGAGATCTCCATCTAATTCTCCGTTCTTTTGCAAGATAGATCCTAGGTAACGAAAACGGTCGCTCTTTGGCATTTCTTGATCTCCGATCCTCACCTCCTAACTCGTTTTGGCCTCCATTTGCACTGAACTTGCACTCCATATATTCTGTCTTTGATCGGCTTAGGCGAAGACCTTTAGATTCCAACACTTCTCTCCAAAGGTTAAGCTTTGCATTTACCCCTTCCTGAGTTTCATCTATCAACACTATATCGTCTGCGAAAAGCATACACCAAGGAATATCATCTTGAATATGTCCTGTTAACTCATCCATTACCAACGCAAAAAGGTAAGGACTTAAGGATGAGCCTTGATGTAATCCTACAGTTATGGGAAAGCTTTCGGTTCTGTCCTTCATGAGTTCTTACGGCAGTCTTTGCTCCTTCATACATATCCTTTATAGCTTGGATATATGCTACTCGTACTCCTTTCTTCTCTAAAATCCTCCAAAGAATGTCTCTTGGGACCCTATCATACGCTTTTTCCAAATCTATAAAGACCATGTGTAAATCCTTTTTCCCATCTCTATATCTTTCCATCAATCTTCGTAAGAGATAGATTGCCTCCATGGTTGAGCGCCCTGGCATGAACCCGAATTGGTTGTCCGAAACCCGTGTCTCTTGCCTCAATCTATGCTCAATGACTCTCTCCCAGAGCTTCATTGTATGACTCATTAGCTTAATACCCCTATAGTTCATGCAATTTTGTACGTCGCCCTTATTCTTGTAGATAGGCACCAAAGTGCTCGTTCGCCACTCATTTGGCATCTTCTTCGTTTTCAAAATCCTATTGAAAAGGTCAGTGAGCCATGTTATACCTGTCTCTCCCAAAAGTTTCCACACTTCGATTGGTATATCGTCTGGGCCTATTGCTTTTTTATGCTTCATCTTCTTCAAAGCTACAATCACTTCTTCCTTCCGAATTCGACGATAAAAAGAGTAGTTTCTACACTCTTCTGAGTTACTCAACTCCCCTAAAGAAGCACTCATTTCATGTCCTTCATTGAAAAGATTATGAAAATAACCTCTCCATCTGTCTTTAACCGCGTTCTCTGTAGCAAGAACCTTTCCATCCTTATCCTTGATGCACCTCACTTGGTTTAGGTCCCTTGTCTTCTTTTCCCTTGCTCTAGATAGTTTATAGATATCCAACTCTCCTTCTTTGGTATCTAGTCGTTTATACATATCGTCGTAAGCCGCTAACTTAGCTTCTCTGACAGCTTTCTTCGCCTCTTGCTTCGCTTTTCTATACCTTTCACCATTTTCATCGGTCCTCTCCTTGTATAAGGCTTTACAACATTCCTTCTTAGCCTTCACCTTCGTTTGTACCTCCTCATTCCACCACCAAGATTCCTTTTGGTGTGGGGCAAAGCCCTTGGACTCTCCTAATACCTCTTTTGCTACTTTTCGGATACAACTAGCCATGGAATCCCACATTTGGCTAGCTTCCCCCTCTCTATCCCACACACATTGGGTGATTACCTTCTCTTTGAAAATGGCTTGTTTTTCTTCTTTTAGATTCCACCATCTAGTCCTTGGGCACTTCCAAGTCTTGTTCTTTTGTCTTACTCTTTTGATATGTACATCCATCACCAACAAGCGATGTTGATTAGCCACGCTCTCTCCTGGTATAACTTTGCAATCCTTACAAGTTATACGATCCCCTTTCCTCATTAGAAGAAAATCTATTTGTGTTTTTGACGACCCACTCTTGTAGGTGATCACATGTTCTTCTCTCTTCTTAAAGAAGGTGTTGGCTAAGAAGAGATCATATGCCATTGCAAAATCCAAGATAGCTTCCCCATCCTCGTTTCTCTCCCCAAAACCATGGCCACCATGAAAACCTCCATAGTTGCCTGTCTCCCTGCCCACGTGTCCATTTAAATCTCCTCCTATAAATAACTTCTCCGTTTGAGCAATTCCTTGCACCAAGTCTCCAAGATCTTCCCAAAATTTCTCCTTCGAACTCGTATCCAACCCTACTTGAGGTGCGTACGCACTAATCACATTGATAAGTTCTTGTCCTATTACAATCTTGATTGCCATGATTCTATCTCCTACCCTCTTGACATCTACAACATCTTGTACCAAGGTCTTGTCCACGATGATGCCAACACCGTTTTTCGTTCTATTTGTGCCCGAATACCAAAGTTTAAACCCTGAGTTTTCTAGATCCTTTGCCTTACTACCAACCCACTTAGTTTCTTGTAGGCACATAATATTTATCCTTCTCCTCACCATAACTTCCACTACTTCCATAGATTTTCCCGTTAAGGTTCCTATATTCCACGTTCCTAAACGCATTTTGCTCTCTTGAACTCTACCCTTCTGTCCTAGCTTCTTCACCCTCCCCCGTCTAATAGGATCAAAGTACTTCTTTTGTGTGTCCCGGGTAAAGTTGATAGGAGCATATGCTCCCAAACAACTTTGAGTGGAGTCGTTCGAAAAGAAGTTTCTATGGCCCCCTTGCTCATTTAACACTGCATCCGGGTGCCGATGGAGATACAGCGACCCTTGCTCACTTATCACTGTGCTCAGGCCACACAGCGCGCCACTTACGGGTGACGCCCTAACTTTAGCGCGATTTTGTTCTGGATTCATTTTCATAAGGATTCGACGTGATCATGGAGTGCCGGCTGTCGACTACCTGACGCCCTCCCCCTCCTCCTTTATCCGGGCTTGGGACCGGCCATGTAAGACATAGGCGGAGTTATGTTAGGAAAAACAAAAATAGGTATATTTGTGTATAGAGATGCTGTTAATCCTTTTCCTTTTATTAGGGGTATTTTTTAATGCACTTTAGTTTTCCAAATTATCTTAGACTTGTTACTGGTCTTTGTCCTGTTGTTTTGCCACTACCTCTATTTGTTTCTAACTTTACATAAATTTACTGCTATTTAGATTGTTGCACTAGTAAATTATGAAATAGTTTTCAGTATTTCATATCTATACATCATAATTCATATGCAATGCCTAATTTAATGTAACAGTTTATGTTAAGTGAAATGTTGTTTGGTAGAATTTGTTCTTACTGCAACTGATTCTTGGAATCATATGCTTATTGCAGCTTAAGTGGAAAACACATATATCAGGTTCCTCCAGAGTCTGTTGGTGGTGCTGATCTTGTATTGGCTGTCTGTGATGCTGCACGAGCAAATACCAAAGTTGTAGCTCCATCTTTATAGTTTAAGAAAATTAGTTTGATTACCCCCTATAAAATTGTTTTGTTGACTATACTTATTTGATGTTTTTATATAGGTGGTGGAGGATGCAAATGCACTAATATTACAATGTGACTCCGATGATTCGAAGAAAACTTGGCAGAGCCGGTTGCAGGGGGCTGTCTATCGTTCATCGGTAATTCTTGTGTAGTTGCTGATTGAAATTAGTATTTTATGATTTTTACCATTCCCCATAAACCTTTAACCTGCGCAACGTCACAGCCCAATGTCGTTTAGGTTGTTGCGATTGTCGTTCACAAAGACCTGGATTCTGCAGTCACAGATAGGTGTTTTGACGTTTGTCGCAGTGCTTTCGTCCTTCCCTCTTTATCTAGTTTGATTTGTGTTCCTATTTGTTGTTCGGATTGTCGTTCACAAAGGCCTGGATTCTGGAGTCACAGATAGGTGTTTTGACGTTTGTCGCAGTGCTTTCTTCCTCCTCTCTTTATCTAGTTTGATTTGTGTTCCTATTTTCCTGATTTTCTTTACCGAATAACATTTTCACAGAATTACTGGTACTGACATAATTATGGAGGTTGTTTCTGTCCTCGAATATAGCATTTTCTGGTCATTACTTTCCTGCTAGGCAATCTCTCTTATAAGTGTTACTTTATGAAACTTGTTTGGTATTTCTTAGGGAGTACTCCCACAAATTGCAGCACTTTCAACTGTAAGGAAAAGCATAAACAATGTCTTAAGTAATCTTATATGCAGGGTTCTGCTCCTGTGACTAGTCTAACTGAAACTTCATCGGAGTCTGAGGATTCAGTAATCGAGCTTAATTCCAGTGAGGATCTGGTTGATATATCAAAAATGGAGAGAGCATTTATTACTGGTGTTCTTGATGAACTGAAGGTCTGCTTCAGTTGTAGTTGTCAGGTAAGCCTCAACTATATACTTGACATAAGTTTCCTTGTAAGGGACAGATCTAACTAGGAGCTACTTTCTCTAGCATGACCAGAATTTTATGAAAGTGCTCCTAACCGAAGAAAGGCGTTTATTTGAATTTCGAGCAATAGGTGGCCAGGTAAATAAATCAATTGATTTAGACAAATCGGTTTTTATTTTAATGTTTTATTTACTATTTTTCAATCGGCGCAAAACCGAGTGCAGTGGCATTCTAGGATTCGTCCAACCAACCCCACTTAGTGGGATAAGGCTTGGTTGTTGTTGTTGTACTGTTTTCAATCGGTTTTTTCCAACTCCACAGAGTTGTATTTTTGGATACAGGTTGAGCTATCGGTTAGAGCAGGTGACATGTTCATCGGAACTGTTTTGAAATCTTTGGAGATTGAAGATTTAGTTTCTGGTCACAGAATGCCTCAGCCTTGCTATCTGGCAAGATCATTTATCGGCAATGCAGAAACAAATTTAACCCCTGGTGCCACCGGGAATCAAATTTTGGATGGCAGTGATGTTATCCTGAATGAAGGAGATGAATTTTACGAGGCACCAGAAAATTTGGTTGACCCTGAAACTTTATTGTTGAAATCCCCTTGTTTTACCCGTATTGCTGGTTTACTCCCTGGCAATGGTCTTCAAGCAACTAAGAAGGACATTGAACTCGATGATCCGTTGGATAGTTTTGTGAAAGCTCAAATAGTTATCTATGACCAAAATTCTCCTCTGTACCATAACATAGACATGCAGGTGAGTGTTATTCTGCATGAAATTTGGACATCAATCCCTTGCATTGTGGTTTGAATAATTATTCTTTAAATTGATGTTTAGGTCTCGGTCACCCTGGCTACCCTATCATTTTTCTGTCGTCGACCAACAATTCTTGCCATCATGGAATTCGTTAATGCTATTACCATTGAGGATGAAAGCTGTGAATCTTTCAGTGACAGTCCTTCAGCAGCTATTGTGAAACATGACATCTCCAGAGATGATGCAGTTGATGATCCACGATCAGTGACCATCAGTGAGCCATCTATTAAAGGGTTGCTGGGAAAGGGGAAGTCCAGGGTCGTTTTTAATTTAACATTAAATATGGCTCGCGCTCAAATTATATTAATGAATGAAGATGAAAGCAAGCTTGCTGTTTTATCACAAGATAATTTGGTTACCGATATTAAGGTTTTTTCAAGTTCCCATCTTTGGAAGAGTTTCCATTTTTATTGAACTTACCTGATTCGTGCTTACTAAACTTCCTTGTATTTCAGGTATTTCCATCCTCTTTTAGTATTAAGGCAGCCCTTGGAAATCTTAGAATAAGTGATGAGAGTCTTCCTAGCAGCCATATGTATTTCTGGGCATGCGACATGAGAAATCCAGGAGGCAGTTCATTTGTTGAGGTATTCCTTTCTCTCTTTATCCCTCTGGAGGTTTCTAAATTTAAGATTTATTTCTTAGTAATCTTGTGTATTTTGTTGGATGGTTATTGAATAGATCAGTGGACCAAATAAAATTTAAAAAGTGTTCCTCAATGAATTTTAAATTGGGTGGAATTGTTGGTCGAAGGGAGAGGGCAAGTTAAGACCAAAATATGAATAGCTTGTCTTGTGGAGGGAAATGATGAATTGGCTTGGGAAAAATTGGGTGATGTGAATGCCAAAAAGTTGATAAGATGGTAAATGTGAGGAGGAAAATGAATATGATCAAATTGTTGGATTTGAGTGACTGGAAATACAATGATGACAAGGGGAGGATAGGGGAAGAAATAAATAATTTCGATGCGAGATTTTATTGAGGGAGATGGGAAAAAGGGAATGTTGATGCTGGGAAGATCAGATTGTTAACAATATTCTGACTTCTTGTTGCGCGCTGCTGTTTTGTAAGCATTGATAGAGAATTTTGAATAGCAATATAGTAAGTAAATATATAAAGAATTATAGGGTTTCTGCATTATTTTGACAGAAATATATACTTTTGTTCTGCAGGATGTTCTTTTCTTATGCTGTTTTGTTATTCTCCTATTTCAATTGTTTTTATTGGCTATCATCGATATTTTTACAACTATTTTCTTTATGATGCAGTTGGTGCTTACTTCATTCAGTGTTGACGAGGAAGATTATGAAGGTTATGAGTTTAGCCTTTATGGGCAGCTTTCAGAAGTACGCATTGTTTATTTGAATAGGTTTATCCAGGAGGTAATATACATTTGACTTCTCTTTTGTTCGTTATGCACTCTAGTTTGTTTCCACTTCTCTTATGTCTGTAAAATCATTTGTAGGTGGCTAGTTACTTCATGGGTCTTGTTCCCAACAATTCAAAAGGTTTTGTCAAGCTAAAAGATCAAGTCACAAATTCAGAGAAATTGTTTACAACTAGTGATTTTGAGGGATCACCTGCACTGAAGTTGGATGTATCTCTTAGGAAGCCTATTATTTTGATGCCTCGGAAAACCGACAGTCCTGAGTATGCTTACTTTGGAATTTAGACTCTGTATTTTAGTTTTAGATTTTGAATTTAGGCTCCATTGGTGCACCAATATAATTCATATCTTTATTTGATATTTCTGATGTACGTTCTGTAATTCTCTGAATTTTTCTATTTCAGCTACTTGAAGCTTGACATTGTTCATATTACTGTCCGGAACACCTTTAAATGGTTTGGTGGAAGTAGAAGTGAAATTAATGCTGTTCATATGGAAGTGTTAACGGTTCAGGTGATTGAGTACATTTGATGTTTTTTCTTTTACCGTCTAAACTCTATCCTCAATTTTTATTTATTTGTTTTGAGGGGTAGTGGCTGGAAAAGGATATGGAGGTTCCAATTGAAATGGATTTTTAAAACCCTGGAGTGCTTGGCATCGTAATTTTTTATTTACTCTCTGCATGTTAATTAATCTTCATTTATGGGGGGATGTAGGTTGAGGACATCAATCTAAATGTTGGCACTAAAGCAGAGTTGGGTGAAAGTATAATTCAAGATGTGAAGGGAGTTTCCGTTGTGATTCGAAGGTCACTTCGAGATTTGCTGCATCAAATACCTAGTGTTGAGGTCGTAATCAAGGTAATGCATCACTTATTCATCGACCAGTGTGTGAATCCAAGTTTTTTTCTATTCCGTGCACTCGTGCACCCTTGTACATTATTTGTTAAAGTTGCAGGTGTAAGTATAGGGTGTGTTTCTGAAAAATGCATTATAAGAGAAGTCACATTCTAAAGGTTTATGATTCGTGCTTTTCAGATGGAGAAATTGAAAGCAGCTTTGTCAAACAGAGAATATCAGATTATCACTGATTGTGCACAGTCTAACATTTCTGAAACTCCACATATTATACCTCCACTGAACCATGAGTCTATGATATCATCAGTTGATGTTGAAGAACACGTCACTCCTCAGGACCCTGTTGGTGTCGAATCTCGAAATGCAAATGAGGGAGCTTGGGTTATGATGAAAGTCTCTGTTGTTATTGATTTGGTTGAATTGTGCTTGCATACTGGAGTAGCAAGAGATGCATCTCTAGCCACTGTACAGGTAGTTTCTTAATTTGGTAGATTTTTTAACTGTCAGTAATTTATTACAATATTTGCATCTATATTCAGTCTCTTGAAAATTGGAGGTATTTATATATATATATATATATATTCGGTTTTAACAGATTGAATTGGCCCCTGCAAGTCCCCTTAATATCATTGATTGATCAATACATCCATCTTTATTGAAATTCATTTTCAAAGCCTTGCATTTATATAAATGTCTTTTCTGTTCAAATTTTCTGGTCCAGTATACAGTATTTGGACATTCCTTGTTTAAGTGATTTAAACAGGATTTCTTTATTAAGAAAGACGAAAATTAAAATCCAACCGTCTCCCTTATTTTGATATGACCAACAGGGTCTTCATTCGTCAACAATCTTAACCAACCATTAAACCTAATATTCTTCCACGCAGTTAAAAAGGGGAATGATTTCTGCGCACCTGTACTTATGTCCCTAGATTCTCTATGATTTCTTCAATCTGAAGGCCAACAATAAATAGGGGTGCATAGCGAGAGAAAAATGGTGGGTGTAAGTCACTCCCCTATAGAAATAGTGTCACATATAGATGTGATACTCGATATTCGTTTCAACCCACCACAATGTTCAACCAAAGTCAATTAACTATCACTAATTTCAAAAAAAAAAAAAAAAAAAGAAAAAAGAAAAAAAAGAAAAAAGAAAAGAAAACTCCACTAATGTGAAGGGAGCGGATATGTAAAACGGTCAAGGTAATCAACCTGTAAACCCCTTAGTTTCTCTTCCTTGCCTGCTTGGTTGTACACAGCTACTAAAGCAATGCTATTTCACTATTCTACAGCTTGAAAATGGCTCCTAAAGCTAACTACTAGCACTAGCAAGGCTAATAGAAAAAGTAAAGCTAGTAGCCAGCCACTGCTATCTCTTCCTATATAGAGTTCTCAATAAAGTAATACTGTTTTATTTAAAAAAAATTTGGTGATGTTAATACACAGGGAATAATCAACTGTGGACATGGTTAAACTGTTGATTTTTTCATAATTCATAATAGTAACTGTAGGATATATTAAATTTGCAGACTGGAACTTAATAGGACCGTATTGGATGTCATCATAGTACAATGTGTGTGTAACCACGGTGGATATCCCCATTTTAAGAAAAGAATAGATGTTATATGTACATATATATCTTCTCGGTTTTATAATGCCATCACTTCCTTTCCTCGTACAGATCAGTGGTGCATGGTTACTGTACAAATCAAATACACTAGGAGAAGGCTTCCTATCAGCAACACTAAAGGGGTTTGCTGTGCTTGATGATCGTGAGGGTACTGAACCAGAGTTTAGGTTGGCAGTAGGAAAACCCGAATGCGTTGGTTCAAGTCCCCTAGATTTTGTGACTCATGATGGTGCTCAACAAATCTCCAGTGCACATGATACGGAACTGAATGATTTGACATTAGTACCTACGATGCTCATTCTTGATGCAAAATTTTCTCAGCTGTCAACAGTTGTTTCTTTATGCATCCAAAGGCCACAACTGCTTGTTGCACTTGACTTTCTGTTGGGTGTTGTTGAGTTTTTTGTTCCTACAATCAGCAATACTCTGTCAAGTGAAGAAGTAAAGAACTCCGTCCATGGAATGGATGCAGTGATTTTGGATCAGTCAACTTACAAGCAACCCTCTTCTGAATTCTCTCTTTCTTCTTTAAGACCTTTAATAGCTGATGATGGAAGGCATGATCATTTTGTTTATGATGGCAACGGTGGTACACTATATTTGAAAGATAGGCAGGGATTTAATCTCTCCGGGCCTAGTACAGAGCCAATAATATATATAGGAGACGGGAAGAGGTTGCAATTCAGAAATGTTGTCATCAAGGTTCTCCCATTACGATATCATCTTTTCTTGTTTATCCACATGCTAGTACCTAAAAAACTTCTATGATATTTGAATTACTAATGTGACTTCTGTGGGTGTAGAATGGGCTATACCTAGATTCATGCGTTTCTATGGGATCCAACAGTAGCTATTCAGCTTTGAAGGAAGATCAGGTCTCCTTAGTGGGAGGGAACGAAGATTCTAATATGAATTCCTCAACAGAAGGTGTCAATAATGTGCCACCTCAAAGTATTGTGGCCGACAGGTCGACAGAGATTGTTATTGAGTTGCAGGTGTTGCTTCGTTTTATTTCTTTTTGGCTTATATTTTGCTATGCTCTGTGGAACTTAATGTTAGTCTCACTTCCCCCCTCCCCCCTGAAATGCGAAATGCGTCACCCTGAAACTAGATTTTCAACAAGCCTGCAGTCTGTCATTTCTGGCAAAAAATCTGTTAAAAATCTCGTACGTGGCATTAATGGGACCCATTTGGTTGCTGATGTGGTAACCCATTAGTACCACGTATACAAAATTGATTAAAGAAACAAACAACCCGGCAACTACCCCAACACAGATCCCGACTCCACCCAACCTGACTTCTCTCTCCCTCTCTATCCATTTCAATATCCTTACATAACCAAACACAGCAAAGTGATCTAAATTCCCAGTTCAATACCAGAAATAAAACGAGAATGAAATGAAAAGAATTGATGAGTGATTCACAAAATAAATATTAAATTGAAATTTATATATTATATTGGCACCTGATTAGATCTACTCCCAAGCGCCCCTCCCACACCCCACCCCTTCAATCTAAGCTTCTCTTTGTCCTTCGCAATCAAACCCTAATAAACGAAACGATGGCATCTATTGATCCACATATGACCACCTCTTACTAAAACCGTCTTCCATGAATGAAGACGACTTGACTGATCCACATATGACCACCTCTTACTAAAACCGTCTTCCATGGATGAAGGTGACGGCTTGGCAGTCGTCTATCTTCATCAAGTTTGCCAACTGTCATTCTCAAATTTTGGCATTTGAGAGTGGGAGAGCGGCCTGGTAGTGCAGACACGAAGAAGGGAGGTTTTCTTCACCTTCATATGTGCTTAGGAAATATGTTTGAAATACTAGGCCAACTGGGAAAAGGAGGAATAGAGAGAGAGACATGCACTTCAGTTCTAGGAATTCAGTGAAGGAGAGGGGAGGAAGGGAGAGGGCTAGAGCGATTAGTTTCGCAGGGAATGCAAGATATAGACATTTAGCGAGATATTTCAAAATTGGACAGAAGGTTATCATTCTGGACTATGGAGATAGGAGTCATTCGTAGAAAGCGTGCGAATTACTGAGAGAAACATGTTTAGAAGCTACCAATTGTGGAGATTCCTATAGGTTTCAAATTCTCTGTAGCACAAGGTGATAAGGAGCAAGTACAGGGTCGGAGGTGTTGAGAATGAATCTCACATTGATGGAAGGAGGGGCCTTGCATGGGCTTATAAGTAAGTTGGGCTACACCCTATATTGCCAATTGGTTTTATGGTAGAACCTCAACTTCTTGATGGGATCAGAGCAGATTGTCCCACGTGTGGAGCCAAACGCCCACACGCGCTCCACGTCTCCCTGTTGTGTTGTCCACTTGTTAGGCTTGAAAATTCACCACATGTGAGGAGCCGTGTTGGGAATGAATCTCACATTGATGGAATGAGGGACCTTGCATGGGCTTATGAGTAAGTTGGGCTACTCTCCATATTGCCAATTGGTTTTATGATCGAACCTCAACTTCTTCATGAGGCTAATGGGTCAGACGCAAACCCTTCTTGCGTGGTTCAAGTCGTAGTCCATGGATAGATATTTCATTGGGTCCTTCTTTCCCAGAGTGTTGCAAGTTTGAGGTGGGCAATGGGGAGAGGGTGAGGTTTTTATAGGATGGACCGTTGAAAGAGCGATATCCTAGATTATTCTTGTTATCGAGAAAGAACGACCAAAGAATTTCAAGTTTTGTGGATTTGTTCTGTTCAATCATTGAGTTGGAATTTTGATTTCAGAAAAAAATTGAATCAGCTGGAGAAAGCAGAGGCAGCTGGGTTATTAGAGAAGGTGGAAGATGTTCGTTTTTTTTTCAATCAAGAGTGGATAATAGGTGGTGGAAACTAGACAGATCAGGATTGTTCACTTGCAGATCGTGTAGCTCTTTCTTTCTTGTGCAATAATGAAACTGTGCAACATTTTGCATCCTATTCTCAAATTTGGAAATCAAAAGCTCCTCCAAAATTCAAAGTTCTTGTATGGTTAGTGGCTATTGGAAAGGTCAACACCTGTGATCAAGTTCAAAAGCGAGGCCTTTTATTTGCATTTCTCCCCAGTGGTGCAGTTTGTGTAAATTTGAGGAGAGTGTTAATCATGTTTTACTCCATTGTTCTTACTCGGTACAGCTGTGGCGGAAATTGTTCAAGGAAGTTAGAGCTAGTTGGGTTATTCCAAAGGGTTGTTACGAGCTTCCAAGTTACCAGTTCGAGTCTTTAGGAAAGGAGAAGAAAGCTAAACCTTTGTGGGGCTGTTTGGTGTTGGCAGTTTTTTGGAACATTTGGTTGGAGCGTAAGAGAAGATTTTTTTTATGATTAAAGTAGGAGTAGCCGAAATTGAAGGAAAGATGAGAGAAAATCGGTTACGGTGGTTTGGACATGTGCAAAGAAGGCCTACTGACGCTCCGATTAGAAGATGCGACTATGGGACAGAGGTTCAGGGCCGAAGGGGTAGAGGAAGACCCAGGAAAACTTTGAGAGAGACCCTAAGAAAAGACTTAAGAGTACTTGGATCTAACGGAGGACATGACACAGGACAGAACACAATGGCGTTCTAAGATTCATATAGCCGATCCCACTCAGTGACTTGGATTTTCCAAGTCTCCAACCGAGAAGTTGTCCTCGCTCGGGAAATTAAGGGAACACTACCTCAACCTACATGCTCCACTCACAAAGCTCCAACATACAAGCTTCAACAAAAGAAAATTCAAAGAACTTAGCGAAAAAGGCTTTGGTGATTTAACACAATACGTTGAAATGAAGGAAAGCTTATTTATTGATATCCCCGATAAATTACAAATATGTACATATACTTGAGTCAAAATAAACAAACAAGAGGGAGCCTTCACAAAGGTTGCTTAGGAGAAGTCTCGGCAGTCGGTAGAGCCCCAGAAAGAGAAGGCACCGGAGGGGGATCATTCGGAGCCTCAGTACTGGACAGAACCCTAGAAGGAGGAGGCATCAGAGGTTGATCATTTGGAGCTTCATTACGCGGTACAGCCCCAGAAGACGAAGGCAATAAATGCCTTTGGAACAAACCCACAAATCTCTGATGGTCAGGTAAAACCTGACCATCAGATTCCTTCATCTGGTCAAGCTTCCTCTTCATGTTTGTAGCATAGTCATGTGCGAGCCGGTGCAACTGTTTATTCTCATGCTTGAGCCCTCTAATCTCCTGTTTGAGACTCATCACTTCAGCCGCCAATGATTCAACTTGGCGGGTTCGAGCAAATAGGCGTTGGGCCATATTAGACACAGAACCTGCACACTGAACACTAAGAGCCAGAGAATCCTTAACAGCCAACTCATCAGACCGTTTGGAAAGTAGTCTGTTATCTTTGGGAGTGAGAAGGTTCCTGGCCACTACCGCAGCGGTCATATCATTCTTCATCACGGAATCCCCAACGGTAAGAGGACCAGTAGGGGAGACGAAGGATGGGCGCCATATGTTGTCTGGAGAAGGCGGGGCTGCCTCTTCAACAAGGTTCAAGTCAAAACGACGGTTGGAGGGGCCAGACATTTTCAAAGGTGTAGAAAAGAGAAGAGGTCGGACAAATCAAGATCTTAGAAGTGCAAGAATGGAGCTTCTACTGGTGGATATTCAAGTGTGCTTTGGAACTTAATGTCAGCCTCTATAAAAATCTGCACTCGACGAAGCTTCAGAAATCGAAGAGGCGTTTGCTTTCTCAAAAGCTGGGCTGCTCAGAGACCACGAGGGTCGATCTCAGAAATCGAAGAGGCGTTTGCTTTCTCAAAAGCTGGGCTGCTCAAAGACCACGAAGGCCGATCTCAGAAATCGAAGAGGTTTGCTTTCTCAAAAGCTGGGCTGCTCAGAGACCACGAGGGCCGATCTCAGAAATCGAAGAGGTTTGCTTTCTCAAAAGCTGGGCTGCTCAGAGACCACGAGGGTCAATCTCAGAAATCGAAGAGGCACCTACTTTTCCAGCCTTGTCAGCACCTGTCACACGCACACTCAGCTTTGCGGAAATTATGGGCATTCTGTCGAAGATTTCTGGCGAAGTAGAAAGCACATGAATCGTACTGTTCAATCACCCACTTCCCACACGCAATAGTAGCTCATGGGTACCACATATAACTTTGCCAAAGTTCTCTGACAAAGTTGAGACTACTTTTCCAGCCTTGTCAGCACCTGTCACACGCACACTCAACTTTGCGGAAATTATGGGCATTCTGTCGAAGATTTCTGGCGAAGTAGAAAGCACATGAATCGTACTGTTCAATCACCCACTTCCCACACTCAACAGTAGCTCATGGGTACCACATATAACTTTGCCAAAGTTCTCTGACAAAGTCGAGACACGTGAAGCTTGCAACTCTCACTACATCGCTCTAACCAAGAAGGGTAAAAGAATAGCAAAGAAACAACACTAACAAAGTTTAGACACATAAATTTTGACGGCCTAGCTACCATATTATTACCCACAAGGGTAAAGGAACAGTACCACTGTTGGATAATTGGAAAGTCCCGGTGTGTCAACCTCTGTGCTTCATGGCAAGGTAGACTAGCAAACATGCCCAACCTTTACTCACATTCGAGAAAACACTCCCAACAAGATTGCTTGCCCCAAAATCGAAGAGGCATCGCCCTCCGAATCTCGAGAGCCAGACTCCCAACATGATTACTTTCTCAAAAATCGAAGAGAGGGTAAAGGAACAGTACCACTGCTGGATAATTTGAAAGTCCCTGTGTGTCATCCTCTGTGCTTCGTGGCAAGGTAGACTAGCAAACATGCCCAACCTTTACTCACATTCGAGAAAACACCCCCAACAAGATTGCTTGCTCCAAAATCGAAGAGGCATCGCCCTCCGAATCTCGAGAGCCAGACTCCTAACATGATTACTTTCTCAAAAATCGAAGAGAGGGTAAAGGAACAGTACCACTGCTGGATAATTGGAAAGTCCCTGTGTGTCAACCTCTGTGCTTCGTGGCAAGGTAGACTAGCAAACATGCCCAACCTTTACTCATATTCGAGAAAACACTCCCAACTCCCAACATGATTACTTTCTCAAAAATCGAAGACACCGTTCTCCGAATCTCGAGAGCCAGACCCCCAGCATGATTGCTTTCTCAAAAATCGAAGAGGCATCGTTCTCCGAATCTCGAGAGCCAGATCCCCGACAGGATTGCTTGTTCGAAAACCAAAGAGGCACCACTTTCCCAACTTCAAGAGCCGGATCTCCTTGGATAAAGCTTGTCTGTAATCTTCACACGCAACATCAGCTTTCCAGATACCACAGACCACTTTTTCAAAGTGCTCTGACAGAGTTAAAACTTGTGAAGCTGGCAGCTCCCACTACCGTGCTATGACCAAGCAGGGTAAAGGAATAACATTATTACTTGATGTTAGGGAGACTTCTATATATGTCGACCTCCATCCCCAACGGACAGGCAGACCTGCAAAAATGCTCAACCCTTCCTCTTATCTGAGAGGGCACTCCCAACGAAGCCTTTCGAAATATTCAGCTTTCTTTCCCCCCGATAATACCTCTGTAAACAAGCTATACTAGAGCAAGAATATCTCATATCATCAGGGTTAAAAGCAAGAGTATCCCATATCATGCTTTTTCCCTGTCTTTTCCTTTGGCCTTGTTCTTACCTGCAAGACAAGGAGAAAGAGAGCAATCAGTCAGCACTTGGAATCAAGCTTCCAGCCAGGAACTGACTGCCTGGAAGCCCTTACCCTGGCATTGCTCTCGAGTACTCATCTTCAACATCTTATGCTTCCAAGGAAGATACCGCATCTGCCTGAGGAACAGATAGGGCAAGTGAGAAGGATACAAGGAAGCATGTGGAGACAAGCGTAACAGCACACGTGCCGATACATCCACTACTCTGTCAAAAGCAAAAGTATCCCATATCAGCAGGGTCGAACGTACTCTAGATTTGATGGACTTGTTTTGACCCTCAAATTCTTCAGTCGGCCTTATACTTTGGAGGAAACCAGAAAACCCTCCAGCCCAGTTCAAGAATAAGCCTGTGGAAAGTTACTTCTTCAAAAGCAAAAGTATCCCATATCATCTCTTCTCATTTTTCTTCTCTTTATCCTTCATGCTGCCTGCAAGATAGGGAGAATGTGAACAATCAGCCGGAGCTCTGATTGCTTACCTTGTCTGTTACCTCTTTCAGCAGATCCCCTAGCTCGGCGACTTGGGGGACTCCTACTACATGGTTTGTATCGCGCTTGACCAAGCCTGAAACTACAAGTAAGCTTCAAGTGACATTGATACATTACCTTGTGCATCTCCACCAGTTACAGATACCACCCTGGATGGAAGAAGAGTACTTCCAGAGAAGATTCCACATCTACCTATGAGACAGATAAGGAAAGTCAAGCCGATACCACACTCCGGGACTTAGAAGTTTCGTGGTTACGAGATCATTCTCCCACAATATTTCCTAATGTCATTTGTACTAAATCATTCACTTGTACTCCCTAAAGGAGAGCTTGAACCTATGTACTTGTGTAAACCCTTCACAATTAATGAGAACTCCTCTATTCCGTGGACGTAGCCAATCTGGGTGAATCACGTACATCTTGTGTTTGCTTTCCTATCTCTATCCATTTATATATACTTATCCACACTAATGACCGGAGCAATCTAGCGAAGATCACAAAAAGTGACCGTTTTCGCTACCTAGGATCTATCTTGCAAGAGAACGGAGAATTAGCTGGAGATCTCAACCATAGAATACAAGTTGGATGGATGAAGTGTAAGAGTGTATCCGGCGTGTTGTGTGATCGTCGTAGGCCACTGAAGCTCAAGGGAAAATTTTATAGGACGGCAATAAGGCCAACGATGTTGTATGGCACAGAATGTTGGGCGGTGAAGCATCAACACGTACACAAAATGGGTGTAGCGAAGATGAGGATGCTTCGTGGGATGTATGGGCACACGAGAAAGGATAAGATTGGGAATGAGGATATCCAAGGTAAAGTAGGAGTAGCCAAAATTGAAGGAAATATGAGAGAAAATCGGTTCTGGTGGTTTGGACATGTGCAAAGAAGGCCTACTGACGCTCCGGTTCGAAAATGTGACTACGGGACAGAAGTTTAGGGCCGAAGGGGTAGAGGAAGACCTAGGAAAACTTTGGAAGAGACCCTAAGAAAAGACTTGATTACTTGGATCTAACGGAGGACATGACACAAAACCGAGCGCAATGGCGTTCTAGGATTCATATAGCCGACCCCACTTAGTGGGAAAAGGCTTTGTTGTTGTTGTTGTTGTAAAAGGGAGTGGGAGTAGAGGAACTATGGTGTAGAGTAAGGTACTGGGCAGCCCTCTGGGCATCGAGGGATTGTTCTCTTTCTTATATAGTGATGGATGTGTTAGCAGCCGTAAAATGAATTTGGTTCAGCTTTAGTTGTAAAGTAGTCCTACTTGAGAGGACTTAGCTAGTTTTGCTAGGTGGTGGATTTCTTATCCACTTCTTGTAATTCCTTGTATTGTTTTAATAAAAATCTATCGTTTCTTCCAAAAAAATTTGGGTGGATTGGTACAGTGCTGGAATTGCACTGATGGGCAGAGATGGTGGGTGGGGTTTTAGTCACAGAAGAAGAGAAAGGGTGGGACCATGGGAGGAAAAGAATTTTTTAGATATTTTCTAATTTTTTCATTATAATTTTTTTGTTATTGTTTTCACACATGGTAAACACATCATCAAATAATTGGAGCCCACTAAGCCACGGAAGAGGATTTAACAGATTTTATGACATAAATGACAGAAACAAGCAACATGGACGAAAATCAGGTTCCAGGGGGTTTAGTGACGCATTTTGCGTTTCAGAGGAGAAAATGAGATTATCATCGAGTTCCAGGGGGCATAGCAAAAAATAAGCCTTTGTTTTTTCCCAATTTCAGGCCATACTCATTTTCTGGAACAGCTAAATTTATTTTGTAACTAAAATATTTCGCTGCAGTTGGTTGGCCCAGAGCTGACATTCTATAATACTTCTGAAGATGTTGGGGAATCACTTGTGCTCTCTAACCAACTTTTGCATGCACAGTTGGATGGATTCTGCAGGTCAATTTTTTTTATTACTATCATGTTTAGATGTACTAGTATAAATTGTGTGCAGAGTTTATGAATGTTTGATGTTATTTATGTGTTTTGCCATTTTTCCTGTAGCTAGAAATATTATTAGAAATAACTATGGATACTTGTGCTCTCTAACCAACTTTTGCATGCACAGTTGGATGGATTCTGCAGTTCAATTTATTTATTTTTATTATCATTGTTTAGACGTACTAGTATAATTCGTTTGCAGATTTTATGAATGTTTGATGTTATTTATGTGTTTTGCCATTTTTTCTGTAGCTAGAAATATTATTAGGAATAACTATGGATAGTTTCTCAAATGGGTCCCAAGTATTTCCTTTTCCTTTTATCTTCTGTCTTTTCTTTTCGTTTTCTTCTTTTTCGTTTCCTTTTACCTTCTAGCTAGAAATTTTCATGTTTAATTGATGCATTATAAACTCTGTTTTATTGCTTGAACTTCAGACAAATATTTTAATGTTCTGAAATATACATACATACATACATACATACATACATATATATATATATAGTCAGTAAAATCTCTATGCATTTATTTTGAGATTCACTTAATAGCCTATATCACTTTTGCATCGGTTTCCATGCTCTGAATGCTTAAAATATTACAGAAATGTAATGGAAAAGTGACGTTATACATGCTCTTTCTGCTTCCAGGCTTGTTATGAAGGGTGATACCATGGAGATGAATGCAAATGTGCTTGGTTTAACTATGGAGAGTAATGGAATCACAATTCTGGAGCCTTTCGACACCTCTGTAAAATATTCAAATGCTTCTGGAAAGACCAATATACATCTAAGTGTTTCAGATGTATTTATGAATTTTTCATTTAGCATCCTCAGACTTTTTTTAGCAGTTGAAGAGGATATCTTGGCATTTTTAAGGACAACATCAAAGAAAATGACAGTGGTTTGCTCGCAGTTTGACAAAATTGGAACGATACAAAGTAGGCCAGAGTGTTTTATTTTGTTTATTTTTCTATATTGTAAGAAGGATTTGACTTGCTAAAGTTACATGCTGATGATGTATTTCCTGCTTCTTCACATTTTCAGATCCCTACAGTGATCAAATATATGCTTTTTGGAGGCCTCGTGCACCTCCTGGTTTTGCAGTTCTTGGCGATTATCTGACACCATTGTTAGTGGATGCTGTTTTAAAACGGCTTCTTTTGATATTAATGGTTTTAGTGTCATATCTTAGTTGTACCTCATGGTGCTCTTTAAATATCAGTATTACTAAAATTGAAACTGTTTTCATTTTTTATAGTTTTGGATGTTGATAATACCATTTTCTTATGACAGGGACAAGCCGCCTACAAAAGCAGTTCTTGCTGTAAATACCAATTTTGCTAGAGTCAAGAAGCCCCTGTCTTTTAAGCTGATTTGGCCACCTTTACCTTCTGAGGGCTTGTCTGTTGATAGCGTAAATGATTCTGATTCAATACCAAATGATGTCCTTTCTGACGGAGCTAATTGTTCCATTTGGTTTCCTGAAGCACCTAATGGATATGTTGCATTGGGTTGTGTCGTTTCCCCTGGAAGAACACAGCCACCACTGTCTTCTGCTTTTTGTATCTTGGCTTCATTAGTTTCTTCTTCTTCCTTAAGGGATTGCATTGCAATCAGTACCAACAATCCGTATGTCGTGCTTTCAAACTCTCTCACTTCTAATAATTTCGGATTACACTAAAGTTGCCAATAGTTTACACTGAGGTTCAAAAGTACCAAATTTGGCAATACTTGAACATATTTGATGGTTTATGTCTATTCCATACGAAGAGGTAGTGGAATACATTTTTTATTGGCTTCAAACATTTAACGCATTGTCATGACTCTGTTATTAGATTTTGGGTCCAAATTCACTTTCTGTTAGATCTCCAACTAAATTGGCCTGTTTACATTGGTAAAAATGATTGAAACGTGATTTTTTGTTCCATTTTAAAATGCAGTTATCAGTCAAATTTAGCATTCTGGCGTGTGGATAATTCTGTTGGCACCTTTTTGCCAGCAGCTCCAAATACATCTAGTGTAATGGGTACAGCCTATGATTTGCGTCACATGATATTTGGATTTTCAGAAGCACCTGAGAAATCATCTAAACCTTTCGATGTCCAAGATACTTCTGCACAAAGTCATGACGTCCAACCAGAAAGGTTGGCAACCGTAAACTCTAGGCGGCATTACGAAGCTGTTGCTAGTTTCCAATTGATATGGTGGAATCAGGGATCAAACTCAAGGAAGAAACTGTCTATATGGCGTCCAGTTGTCCCTCAGGGGATGGTATATTTTGGTGATATTGCAATCAACGGGTATATGATAATGGTGTTGAGGGATATCTTATCTTTATAACATTATGATTTTGTGTATGTCTTTTTCTGTTGTATCTTAAGTAACATAAGTTTGATGGTTACTAAACTTAGGTACGAGCCCCCAAATACCTGCATTGTTCTTCGTGAAACAGGAGGTGACGAGATCTTCAAAGCCCCTCTTGATTTCCAGCTTGTTGGGCAAGTTAAGAAACAAAGGGGAACGGAGAGTATATCTTTCTGGCTTCCTCAGGCTCCTCCAGGGTTTGTTTCCCTTGGTTGTATTGCATGCAAGGGAACACCAAAGCAATCCGATTTCAGCTCATTAAGATGCATACGCAGTGATATGGTCACTGGAGATCAATTTTCGGACGAAAGTGTATGGGATACATCTGATGCCAAGCTTACAAGAGATTCTTTTAGTATCTGGTCAGCTGGAAATGAGTTGGGGACCTTTATAGTTCGCGGTGGGTTCAAAAAACCTCCAAGAAGGTTTGCTTTAAAGCTGGCCGAGTCAAGTGTACCAAGTGGTTCGGATGATACTGTAATTGATGCAGAATTGAGAACTTTTTCTGCTGCACTGTTTGATGACTATAGTGGCTTGGTAAGAATTCATACTAAAATAGCACATAAGGAGTATGAAACGTAGTGATTTGTAAATGAATAATGAAAGGTAGGATTAGGGAACCTTCTTCCAAATTTTAATAATTACTTTTTCTCTATACGTATCAATTATCCATCCGTAATAAGTGATAACTGGACGCCATATTTCTAAATAAAGAAAATGTGAAGCAAGCTCAAGGAATGAATGGGCCCCTAATCTTATCTAGCAATATTGTGTCAAGAAATTGAGAAAACCTACTCTTATGTACAATTCTGTTATGTTCATGAAGATTAACCTTATGGACAATTCTGGTATTTTCTCGGCTGAGTCGTCTCTTCTTATAATAACTTGTTACTGTGTATTTAATTATTGAACATGGAACACAAGTACATAATATTAAGCTTTCCATCTTTTTCTTTGAAGAAAAGAAAAATATATGCTGTCTTTGGTGGTTGTTATGTTGAAAGCTCAAGTCCTACTGTTACTTTAATTTTCTGTTAGTTACGGCAATTTCTCTAATGATTTTGTCTCATGGAATATGACAGATGGTTCCATTGTTTAATGTCTCTTTAAGTGGAATTGCGTTCAGTTTGCATGGAAGAACCGACTACTTGAATTCTACTGTGAGCTTCTCTTTGGCTGCTAGATCATATAATGATAAGTATGAAGTTTGGGAGCCTCTCATTGAGCCAGTAGATGGTTTCTTACGGTAATTTTCTATTCTACCTCAGTATTAAAAAATTCTATGAAAACATATAGGATGCATTAGGTAGCTTATCAGTTCTGAATTCAATGTTTAAAAGGAATCCATGTGGAACCTAGGAAGCTAGAAAAGTCGAGCATACATAATGGATGGTGTGGAAAAGAAGTTGGAAATTTTGAAAGGATCAAGTAAAGGGCCGTGGATTCTCAGGGTTATGGATCTTTTTGTGGGTGCTGTCAATGGTTGTGGCATGAGGGATAATTCATTAAGACTTTGTATCCCGCCCTAATTATACCAGATATCACAATATGGCGATTGATATATGTTTTAGTTATTGTTGACCATGCTCGGATTAAATGAGGTCGCGGTGGGTGAATTATCATTTCAATGGTAATTTTCATGGAAACTGCTCATTTAAAATGCTCCAAAAGCTTAAGTTGTTGAGGAACTGTCCAACTGTATATGTCAGGCTTCTACCCTCACCCACGAGGAGCCCCTACTGCACCTGGAGAGCTAGACATATGGACATAGAGAGAAATATATAGGTGCAGGAGCTCACCCACCACGCAGCCCGAAAACAAACAAAGAAATTGGGAACGACGATCAAACATAGAACCTCTTGAAAACATGGGTTTGCTACCCAAATGTCTGACCTTGATACGCAAAATGTCAGGCATCTTCTAGGCCAATATCTAATCGATAATGTAGAGTGGAGAAGAAATAAGAAAAGTTAAAAATGTTTTTAGCTTTGGTGCTTAGGAAGTTTCCACTAGTTGAAAGGTTAGAGAAAAGATTTTATATCTCATCTAGTGTAAACTTTGTGTTCCTTTTTCCACATCACTTTTGATGCAGTTATGCTCATATTTGGTTAAAATTTCACTTCGGAAACATCAGTAGTTATTTACTTATATCGGCCCACATACAGGTACCAATATGATCCGAGTGCTACAACTACAGCGTCCCAGTTACGCCTTACCTCTACAAGGGATCTGAACTTGAATGTTTCTGTCTCTAATGCTAATATGATTATTCAAGCTTATGCAAGCTGGAACAGTCTTATTCATGTGCATGAATATGATAGAAAAAGAGTAAATTTCTTCTGCCTCCATCACTAAATGAAGTTTTCCTTGTACACCCTTTCTCCTGTCTGCATTTAACAGTTATTGCTTACAGTTTCACCTTTTCTTTTTCTTTTAACATGATATCGAATAGGAAGCATCCTCGCCAACAGATGATGGAAGATCTGCTATTGACGTTCATCACAAGAGAAACTTCTATATAATTCCACAAAACAAACTTGGTCAGGATATCTTTATTCGAGCTACAGAATTAAGGGGACTCGCAAACATAATTAAGATGACTCCTGGGGATATGAGGCCCGTGAAAGTTCCTGTTTCCAAGAATATGCTGGACTCTCACTTGCAAGGAAAACATTTCCGTAAAGTTAGAACATTGGTTACTCTTATCATAGTGGACGGGCAGGTATACTCTCATTCCTCATGGATTCAATTTCTTTTGATTCCTTCCATTTGTTCTCTGTTCCAGTGGTTATCATGTCCACTTTTTTTGGCTTATTGTTTTATTGTCTTTTCATAATAAAAGGGTCTTTCTCACAAAATAAATAAATAAATAAAGTTGCTTACAATTTTTTCAATTTATTTTATAACAAAAATATATGAATTTTAATTCTACCTGCAAATGCAGTTCCCACAGGTTGGAGGGTTAGCATCCCCCCAGTATACCATAGCAATTCGCCTTAGTCCTGATGCGAACCTCCCTAGTGGATCACTGAGCCATCAGCAAAGTGCACGTACTTGCGGAAGCAGTTCAGATCACTTGTCTTCAGAGCTTGAGTTGGTCAAGTGGAATGAAATTTTTTTCTTTAAAGTCGACGATCCAGTATGTAGAATATTTTTCTTTTTAGCACGTTTTCCCAATTACAACTGCTCTGCTTTTGCATGTATTCTTTGCACATTGGATTTCACATCTGTTAATACCCGAACTTTAATTTTACAATTTTGACCAAAAGGATGATTACTGGATTTCAATTCTTGTGCTATGAAATTTGTGTAACATCTTGTAATTAAAATGTATTTTAGGACATGCTAAGTGGATTTTCTAATCTTCACTTACTGAATTTTGGCTTCATAAATTTCAAATGATAGACAGTAATGCTACCTGTAGATGTATATGATTCATTAAACAGTATTAACCCATTTGGTTTATTTTTATATATCATTGTTTGGAGGTTGTATGAACATATAAGTAATCTTCTTGGTTATCCCATTTCATCTTCATTGTCTCTGTTCCCACTCAAGCTATTCTATCCAAATTTGTGCAGGACTACTACTCGGTGGAATTAATTGTGACGGAGCTGGGGAAAGGTAGTTCATTTATTATTTATTTGATCTGTGGTCTTTCTAGTTAATACCCAATGGGGATCACCTTCTGCATTTGTTATTTATCTGCATGCCATATCTGTATAATATTGAAATTCTCATTGTGAATCCTATTCTCTTATTTATTACCTGTGTCTACTATTGAGGCAGAATACCCTCACCCATTGTTACTAAGAAACTGAAAGAAACCTCGGAAACGGAAGATGTAGAAATGCCAACTAAGCATAGTATTTCAGATTTCATTACACCACGTTGATCCTACCCACTGTCCTCGTGTAAAAAATTGTGAATCCTGTTGTATACTATAGTTTGTTTTTGTTTAGTTCCTATCTGTTATGCATCCTTTTTTTTCAACTTTGACCTAAATATACATGTATTTTCTGTAAGGTAAATGAATTTTCCGCACTCCTTAAATTTTTTTTTAATTTTGTTTTTTAAGTACTTAAGAAATACGCATTTTGTCTATCCTATCAATTTTGGGCAAGATGGGTTTAACTTTTCATTTTTGATTTTAGGGGTCCCTCTTGGATTATTTTCAGCCCCTTTAAAGCAGATTGCATGGATCATCCATGATAATTCATACCCATATGATAGCGTGAACAAATGGACCTGGGTTGAATTGTCCTCAACAGATTCTGCGGTAGAGTTCACGTTCATGTTTTAGAAATATCATTTTTCCTATTGTATCTGTTTTGTGTCAGAACATGTACCTCGTTCTAGGGGTAGAAATTTATCAAGAATGTACTAACAAGTAGATCAACCTTGTAATACTTATGTGAATTGTGATTCAGGGATATAATGGTGAAAAGTCCTGTGGAAAAATCAGATGTGCGGTGCTTTTGTCACCGATATCTGAAGCTGAGATAAGTGATCATCAAACTGATAACAGTGGCAGAAAATCTGGTTTTATTCAGATCAGTCCAAGCAGGGAAGGGCCTTGGACTACAGTGAGGCTTAATTATGCTGCACCAGCTGCTTGTTGGCGGTTAGGGAATGACGTTGTTGCTAGTGAAGTACATGTGAACGATGGCAATCGATATGTGAATATTAGGTCTCTTGTTTCCGTATGTAACAGTACGGATTTTGTACTTGATTTGTGCCTTGTATCAAAAGTTTCCATGGAAGACGCAACGTTAAAAAACAACGCCAGTACCCCTGAAGGTCCAGTACATCTTAAGAAACTTCAAACCGATGAGTTCTTTGAAACTGAAAAATACAGCCCTGGTACTGGTTGGATTTGCACCACGGTTCAACCAAGTCAAGAAATCGTTGAAAGTGCAGGATCTCATCAGGTAAAGAAATTAGTTGATGTCCTTGGCATGTGTTCTTGTGTTGATAACTCGTGTAGGTTGAACCTTGAATTTAAATCTCTCCGACTGAAGTTTTCCATGCTTAGCATATGTTTCATGTTGATTTTCATAGTTTTGTTGTATATTACTTTTGTTACATATTCTCATCCAAAATTGGTAGCTACGATGTCCCTAAATTAGTGATACTATATGGATTGAAGAAACATTTGTGATTCTTTTGTTAGGATATAAGAACATTTATAAAAAGAGAAATTAATGCGATGAAAACATTTATAAATCTTGTAAAACCTCCTTCCCCATCTTCTGTCACACCCCAATGTTGATATTCGCCCAAAATCGGAATGCTGACGTCTGAACATCAGAGCCTGACGGAAAAGTAAATTAAACAAGGTTCAACTTTTAACTGAATCACATTATAAACATGGTCAAGTGGAATGTCGCCTGTAGGCCCAAAATAAATATCAAAATAGAAGAAATACACCCTAACGCTCTAACACTCAGCCCAGTACCATTACACTCATAGATCTTAAACTTAAGGATACCTGATCACCTGGAAAACAAACCCCCTATACCGTGGAATGGTATACCGGGTTGGAGATTGTTTAATACATTTACTCAAAACAGTCCAAGCAGTAGCCAAAACTACAGATCTACAAAGTCTAACCCCCTACAAAAAAAATCTTTGGTGAACTACACTTTCTTGGTCGAAGCCACTCCAATCTAAACTCTAGAAGAAACCCACTCACAGCTTTGTACGAAAATGAAGGAGCAGAGTTTTTGAGGCACTCCTTTCTTTTGTTGCTCTTTTTGGATGAGAAGTAACAAATGTTTGTGACCATTAGCTATATTTTAATTTGGGTGATGACTAAACCTTTTTTTTGTGGTCTGTCTCATTACTAGACAGGTTTAGTAATTCTGGAGCAATTAGATTGTTTCTGATTATTGTCGGTAATGCAGGGAGTTCCTGCAGTTGAGTTACCACTTGGCTGGGAATGGTTTGATGATTGGCATTTGGATATGGAATCTGTTAACACTGCTGATGGTTGGGTTTATGCTCCAGATGTTGAGAGTTTAAAATGGCCCGAGTCATTTGATCCATTAAGATCTGGAAACTATGCAAGGCAAAGGAGATGGATCAGGAATAGAAAACAAAATGATACACATCAGGAAATATATATTGGACTTTTGAAACCTGGAGATACGGTATCTCTTCCTCTATCTGGGTTAGCACAACCTGGAATGTATGTATTGCGTTTAAGGCCCTCTCTCCACAATAGTAGTGAATATTCTTGGAGTTCAGTGGTGGATGGGTCTGAACAAACAGAGGACTCTGGTAAGTCAAAAGTATGCTCTGGGATAAGTGTGTCTTCTCTCACTGAGTCAGAGGAACTGTTGTATTGCACTCAGATAAGTGGTAGTTCTTCAAGCGGTTCTCATAAGTTGTGGTTTTGTATGAGTGTACAAGCAACAGAAATTGCCAAAGATATTCGTTCTGATCCGATCCAGGATTGGACTCTTGTAATCAAGTCCCCGCTATCTATCTCCAATTTTCTTCCGCTTGCAGCTGAATTTTCTGTTTTTGAGATGCAAGATAGTGGTAACTTTTTTGCCTGCTCTAGAGGGGTATTCTTTCCAGGCAAAAGTGTCAATGTTTATAGTGCTGACATAAGAAACCCTTTGTTCTTTTCACTGCTTCCACAAAGAGGGTGGCTGCCTATAAATGTGAGCCTTTAAGACCAAACTAATCCCTTTTTTTTTTTTTTTGTTCTTTTGTATGATTCTATTTTTCTTTGACATAAATTTTATTATATATCCCACCCTTTCATTTATTTCTTTTGCAGGAAGCTGTTCTTTTTTCCCATCCTCATGAAGTTCCGCCAAAAACTATAAGTTTGAGAAGTTCGATATCTGGAAGGTTTCAAATAATCTGCATCATAAATTATATTGTGTATCTTAGTCTCTACATTTCTTGAAGTGCATTTCTTTTATAGTCTGATAGTTCCGTGGTAATTGTTTCTGCAGGATTGTTCAAATTGTTCTTGAACAGAATTCTGACAAAGAACGGCCACTGCAAGCTAAGATCATTAGGCTCTATGCTCCTTATTGGTATTCAATTTCTAGGTGTCCCCCTCTCAAACTTAGGCTTTTAGATATCAAAGGAAAGAAACATACACGAAAGGTTGGTAATCCATTTCACTCTAAAAAGGACAATGAAACTGTCCTGGAGGAAATAACTGAAGAGGAAATATATGAAGGTCATACAATTGCTTCACCTTTGAAATTTAAATTGTTGGGCCTTGCGTTGTCCATTGATCAATCTGGCAAGGAGCAGTTTGGACCTGCCAAAGATCTTTCTCCCCTTGGTGACATGGTAGATGTCTATGTCTTTTTTATATGGATCCATTATTGGTAAACAAGTCTCGTTAAGATTTTCTCTTTCCTTGTTTGTTAGGATGGGTCTTTGGATCTCTATGCTTATGATAGTGAAGGCAATTGTATGCGGATTTTTATTACAACAAAACCATGCCTATATCAATCTGTTCCCACAAAGGTAATTTTAATTTTTAGAGATTGCAATAAATCTTAAGACTGGTTATTTACCCTTTGCTCTCTTTCCAGGTAATTTCTATCCGACCATATATGACTTTTACCAATAGACTTGGTCGGGATATATCCATTAAGTTATGCAGTGAGGATGAACCAAAGATTCTTCGAGCATCTGATTCAAGGGTCTCGTTTGTACATCGTGAGTCAGAAGGACATGATAAACTTCAGGTTAGTGGAGTGTACGCGGTAATTCTTTATAGGAAACATATTTAACAATGGTCCTTGTATCTGTATCCATTGTTTTGGAAAATCAGGGTGCGTTTTACCCTTAAAAGGATCTAAAGAACCTACTCACAATACGATACTTCACCTAGTAAGGGACATGTGACCCCTGACAAGTCCCATGTGATCAAATATAGTATAAAATATGTATCATATTTGGAGAAGCAAAAGCTACATGAAAGCCTGATAAATTAATTTAGCTCAGGTTGGTACAAAAGTAAGGCTTGGTTCGGGTGTATCCTGCCCGAACTAGAACCTTTTCTTTTGGAATCATGCTGGACGGTTTTTGTTTCAATTATCTACGTAGATGAATGATCCGAGCTTTAATCTTATGCACTCTGAAAAAACTTATTTCTATTTTTCGGTTCCATTGTTAGGTTCGTCTAGAAGATACCGACTGGTCATTCCCTGTTCAAATTGTAAAGGAGGATACCATTTATCTTGTTTTGAAGAAGCATGATGGTACTCGGAGATTTTTGAGAACAGAGATTCGGGGCTATGAAGAAGGTTCGCGTTTCATCGTTGTATTCCGCCTCGGATCAAACCGTGGTCCCATCAGGTACTTATATCGTGTTTTTGTTATATGCTGGTAAATATTAAATATATATAATATTATATAATATATACATATATAATGTGGGGCTTACTCCGTAATGTATTTTAACGATCCGAACCATCTATTTTTTATAACATCATTTATAGATCATATTTGCAAAAAATTAGACAAATCCAAAACCATTAAGACAGTTATTTATAGTGAAGAAAATGGGCGAATACTATTCTATAAAGAATTACTGCATACAAAAGAAATATGGTTTCAAATTTGGGTGATTTTTGGTAGACATGATCTTTGAGGGAAGACCTAAAAGATGGTTTAGATTGTTGAAATACATTGCAAGTGGGCCCACAAAAACGTGTGTCAGAAGTTGTGTAAAAAAAGTGGTGCCATATCCGCCGCCATATATTCTCTTTGCATCTGTATATTCTCTTATTGATGAAATATGGTGTGTATTAAAGAACAGACGTATGTATAACTGTATATTACTATATTGTCAAATGTTGGCTATAAGGCTATCGATCGATGAAATATTGATCGTTACGATCGTCAAATGGTCAAACAGGATTTGGCTGATCCTCTGTAGGGATGGTTGTTTGAATGGGATTTACAAGCTAGACTATTCTAATTATTGACCCACATTGTGAAATACCCCTCCCAATGATCCCTTTCAACAATTAATCTATTTTGATCACTCTTAAGGCGGTTAAAATGCATACGTGCACATTGATACACACACCTGTTCACCGACCGGGCCGCTTTACAATGTGATCAAGTGATTTGAACTTTAGTTTTTAGATCCCCAGTCGGGGATAAGCCCCTGCAAAAACTTATTTGAATCGAAAATTGTTTGACTATTTGATCATCGTAATAAAATGTCGTAGTGTTATCACACACGTTTTGCTCATTTATTTGTTGTGTTGTATTTAGATGGCTAAATGATTTGCAATTTCGTTGACTTTTTAATCGCAGTGATGGTTGGGCACTTGGTGCGATGGCAAGTGCCTTCACCCATGAGCGGTAGGTCTTGGGTTCGAGACTTCGGAGCAGCCTCTCCATAAATGGGGGTAAGGCTAGCCGACATTCACCTCTCCCAGACCCTGCGTAAAGCGGGAGCCTTGTGCACTGGGTACGACCTTAGTGATGGTTGGGCCCACTTGAGATCTGTTTTAATCAATAGTAAAAGGGCATCCCTTATAAGAAATGGGCCATGTGTGTGTAGTGTGTGTCGTGTGTGTATAATATATATATATATATGAGAGAGATATAGGTGACTAACCTATTAAAGCTTCATTTGAGCAGAATTGAGAACAGGACAGTCAGCAAAACAATTAGAATTCGCCAGTCTGCTTTTGGTGAGGATGCCTGGATTCTCCTAGCGCCTCTTTCAACAACGAATTTTTCTTGGGAAGACCCTTATGGCCAAAAGATCATAGAAGCTGGGGTTGACGGTGCTAGCAATGGGCCTTGGGAACTTGATTTGGAAAGGACCGGGATATGTTGTGCAGATGAGGGACTTGGATTACAATTTCATGTTATGGAAGTTGGTGATATCAAGGTAGCTAGGTTCACAGACACAACAACTTCGGGGACAAGTTTGGATTTGCAAATTGCTGGAAATTGGGGGCATTCTCATATGCAAAACACCAATCAAAGTAATAGTGCCTCCCCTGTTGAGCTTATAATTGAGTTTGGAGTTGTAGGGATCTCTATTGTTGACCATAGACCAAAAGAGGTCTCCTACTTTTATTTTGAGAGAGTCTTCGTATCATATTCGACCGGTTATGATGGTGGTACAACAGCCAGGTGAGAGCATAACCTTCTTATACTCCTATAGGATTTTCTTATGGATGTCTTTCAGCTGTAATGTTATGTGAAGTTCTGAAATTTTAACTTTTCTTATCACTTATGTTATCCTATAGATTGAGCTATTAATGACATTAATGAGGATTAGTGATTTGTAATCACCTCATTAAAAACATACTAGAAAGATGAAGCATTGTTTCATTTGCATACCTAAAATAATCATGTGAATTGCATATTGGCAGTAGTATCATGACTATTAAATAGAATTAAAACAACGAAATGTTAGTTGAATTGTGGCTGTAAAGGTGGTGTCGTAAGTATGAAAGTTTGAATTAAAAACCGAAAATAAGTTTTCATTCAAATTTACAGCAAACCAAGTTCTAGTGTTTATATTCAATAAAGTTATTGTAGAGTATCGTGGTCCGTGAAACAACTTTTGCTTCTTAATCTTCTGTCAGGAGAATCAGAACCCCAGTTCTTTTAAGCTAAACACTTGTTTTAAATTTACAGAATCTGTGAATGTGACTGTCATTTGTTTGATTCTTTTTGTGTGTCCAATTTTTTATCCTTCTAACTCCGTGTTTTCAGATCCATCCTCACTCCAATGTAGCTTTTCTTATTAAATAATATGCTTTACACACCAAACGTTTATGTTTCACTCTGCTAGGTTCAAGCTCATACTGGGTCTTCTGCAGCTGGACAACCAGCTTCCTCTAACATTGATGCCAGTGCTGTTGGCTCCAGAAATGAACTCTGACATGCATTACCCAGTGTTCAAAACGACTATTACAATGCGCAAGGAAAATAGTGATGGCGTACAGGTGTACCCTTATGTTTATATACGGGTAATGCCTTTTTACAGGATGCCTAAAATGTTTGTTATCAATTGTAACAGTGAAGTACCTAAGCTCTGACCCAAATTTGTGATGACATGATAGGTAACCGATAAGTGTTGGAGGCTTAATATTCATGAACCAATAATTTGGGCTTTGGTAGATTTCTACAATAATCTACAGTTGGATCGTTTGCCTAAAAGTTCTAGTGTCACAGAAGTTGATCCAGAAATACGCATTGAGTAAGTATCACTACTTCTGCTTGTGTGCAGAAACTGCAATTCATTGGATTTGCAGCAATATAGTTATGAGCGCCGAAGAGAACTGTTTTTCCTTCACCAAACAAAAAAAGAAAATGTAATGGGGAAAAAAATTGACCACCACTGCTTTGTCCTTATTTGGCGGTTAAAGCTCATATGCTAAGGCATTGGGCCTTCTTTTTATTAATCAAAATTGGTTCTTATGTCATTTGCTATAGCATTTATTCCGTTTCCTTTTCTTTTAATATTAGCCATATGATTTAGAAAGATATAAGTATACAACTAAATATCGATACCCTTCTAGTTCCATTCCCCATGACCCATTGGGTGCCCCTCCCTCCCTCCCTCCCTCCCTCCATGTTCCCATTGTATTATCACCCAAATATTTGTTAGGTCTGAGCACAGCCTATTCTTTTTGCAATTACCTCCCTCCCTCCATGTTCCCGTTGTATTATCACCCAAATATTTGTTACCTGTCTGAGCACAGCCAATTCTTTCTGCAATTACATATAGGATTCGTTGTATTATCACCCACCCTCCCTCCCTCCCTCCATGTTCCCGTTGTATTATCACCCAAATATTTGTTACCTGTCTGAGCACTGCCTATTCGTTTTGCAATTACATATAGGATTAGTGGCTGTATTTTTGGGGGTTATATTTGTGGGGTGCTGCAAGAGACCTGCAAACTTGGGAACTGTCTACTGATGGGGAAACATGTTCCCGTTGTATTATCACCCTCCCTCCCTCCATGTTCCAATTGTATTATCACCCACCCTCCCTCCATGTTCCCGTTGTATTATCACCCACCCTCCCTCCTTCCATGTTCCGTTGTATTATCACCCAAATATTTGTTACCTGTCTGAGCACAGCCTATTCTTTTTGCAATTACATATAGGATTAGTGGCTGTATTTTTGGGGGTTATATTTGTGGGGTGTTTAGAGACCTGCAAACTTTGGAACTGTCTACTTATGGGGAAATATGAGTTGTGAACTATCAGGAATAATTTTTTGTGATTTAATTTTGGGATAATAGTTCTATTTCCTCACTCTCTTTTTTGCTGTTTTTCTTTCCTTCTCTTTCCAGCCTAATAGATGTTTCAGAAGTTAGGCTGAAGGTGTCATTGGAAACAGCACCAGCCCAAAGACCTCATGGGGTTCTAGGAGTGTGGAGCCCCATACTATCAGCTGTCGGAAATGCATTCAAGATTCAGGTGAGTCTGGGTGGTTCTCTATTCAGATGCTATGATTTGCTCTCCAGTTTCTCAAACTTGTAAACAGTCTTCATATGTAAACTACGGAACATGTTTCCAATCTATCATAATATTGAGGTGAGGCTATAGTCATGACAGTAATATGTCATTGCTGCAGGTGCATTTGAGAAGGGTGATGCACAAAGACAGATTCATGCGGAAGAGTTCCATTGCTTCTGCCATTGGTAACCGTATTTGGAGAGATCTGATCCATAATCCTCTACATTTGATATTTTCAGTCGATGTACTTGGTATGACAAGTTCAACATTGGCTTCTCTTAGTAATGGGTTTGCTGAGCTGTCGACGGATGGACAATTTCTGCAACTGCGTTCAAAGCAGGTAATGTTTTCATATTAACCAAGAAATAAAAATTAGTAATGCAATGTTATGATGAAAGGCTGTTTTTGAAATGGTTTCAGGTGACGTCAAGGAGAATAACTGGGGTGGGTGATGGAATTATTCAAGGTACAGAAGCACTTGTGCAAGGTGTTGCCTTTGGGGTGTCTGGAGTGCTGAAAAAGCCTGTAGAGAGCGCAAGACAGAATGGTGTTTTAGGACTAGTTCATGGGCTTGGGCGTGCTTTTCTAGGAGTGATAGTGCAACCAGTCAGTGGGGCATTGGACTTCTTCTCATTGACTGTTGATGGAATTGGAGCAAGTTGTTCCAAATGCTTAGAAGTTTTCAATAGCAAGACAACCTTCCAAAGAATTAGAAATCCCCGAGCAATCCATGCTGATGCTGTACTTAGAGAGTATTGTGAGAGAGAAGCTGTTGGGCAGGTAATTTGTTACTTCCTTAACTTCAGTGATCAAATAAACTATTTGCTTTGGTTTTCCTGGGAGTGTGAGTGAGTAGGATACGGGATGCATAAGGAGGAGATGGTAAAAAATTCAGTTTTGTGATTATAAGTCTTTCACTTCAATTGGCACATTGCTGAGATACTTGAAATACATGTATCAAAGATTCAAATATGTATCAAATGTATCTGTTAGTTATTAGCCTTTTACTGCTAACATTTGCGAGTCTTGGGTAATTTTATTTGACACTGTCACACTGCTCCACCAAAAAGAAGTCGCTATTATCTTAATGTACAAGTCCTATTTATTTTTACTTTCTTTGTTTCTTTTCGGCAGATGATTTTATACCTTGCAGAAGCACATCGGCACTTTGGTTGTACTGAGCTATTCAAGGAACCATCAAAGTTTGCTTGGTCTGATTATTATGAAGATCATTTTGTTGTGCCTTACCAACGGATTGTTTTAGTGACAAATAAGCGAGTCATGCTGCTTCAGGTTAGTCAAGCAGTCTTGCAATGGCCTATAGGTTTTTCTGTTATATGTGCCCAATGCTTTTGTCTGCTTGACATTCAATCTTCTTTCTTTGCTTCCTAGTGTTTGGCTCCAGACAAAATGGATAAGAAACCTTGCAAGATCATGTGGGATGTACCTTGGGAAGAGCTCATGGCTGTGGAGTTGGCAAAAGCAGGCTGCAATCAACCATCTCACTTGATCCTCCACCTCAAAAATTTTAGAAGATCAGAAAATTTTGTCCGGGTGATAAAGTGCACTGTTGAAGAAATTGAGGGAAATGAACTCCAAGCTGTTAGGATCTGTTCCGTAGTACGGAAGATGTGGAAAGCATCTCAGTCGGACATGAACTGCCTAATTCTGAAGGTTAATACTGTACATAAAGATTTGTTCTTTTAAGAGGTAACCTATACACAATTTTAATATGGTTCACCATTCTCAGGTTCCATCAAGCCAGCGACATGTGTATTTTTCCGGGTCTGAAGCTGATGGGAGAGAGCACCGTATACCAAACAAGGCAATTACTAGGCTGAGAGACATCCCATCATACAATTCTGCATTGGATGGTAAATTTGTTAAACACAGTATTAACTTTTCAAAGATTTGGAGCAGCGAACAAGAATCCAGAAGTCGATGCACGTTGTGCAGAAAACAGGTGATTTACTGTTCACGTTGCTTACCTTGTTTCCATTTTTAGTACTTTCTTGTTATCTGGTTAAGATTTGGCACCTTATGGTTTAGCAGTCTAAAGATGAATCATTGTTTTATATAATTAGGTTCCTGAAGATGGTGTAATATGTAGCATTTGGAGACCCATCTGTCCAGACGGGTAATTATTATCGATTTTCTACTTTCTATTTTTCTTGATAACATTAATATTCATTGCATTTTATATTTTTTGTCTCGGACTATAAATGCATCTTTCTATTTATCAGTCAAAGAGCCTACTTAGTTTGGAGCAGGACTGTTCATGTGAATGCTCTGTTGCAACAGTTAGAGCGCTGTTTCTTTTTTTAGCTAGGATACTTTTAAAGGCTACTTGTTATTGAACTTCATGAAGTTCAAGAAGCTCCGTCACATTCTTGCTCAACCTAAAGGGACCGACTGGCATGTTGAAAAGTGCTGTTCCTAGACGTTTCTCTAGCTGAGCTAAAGCTATGGTATATCACCGGTTTAATGCCCCACCCCTAGGGCTCCATCCGAATCTTCCCCAATTAAAGGAGAAAAGTCAGGAAAAGACGAAAATGGCCATATGTGGTTCTCTTTAGCCTTTAATATAATGTGATTTACAAAAATGAAAACATGTCTTAAGTGTTTGTTAAGATGATCCTTTACTCTGTATTCTAAAGAAAGTAGAACCGTGTTAACATTTCAGTCTCCTGAAATTATGCATTTCACTACCAGCTGCTACTAACTTGCTAGTTGTCATTGCGAAAATTGATGAGTGGTTTTTTTTCTTCAGCTATGTCTCGATTGGTGATATTGCTCGCATTGGCAGCCATCCTCCAAACGTTGCTGCTGTTTATCGCAAGATTGACAGATTGTTTGCACTTCCAGTTGGTTATGACCTGGTAAGAATTTATAATCACTAATAGAGTTATAACCTAGTTAGGATAGTCTATGAGGATCAATAGAACTTTTTAGGTCGTATTTTTGTGTGTTGCATCTGTGGTTTGCCTTAATAGCATCTCACTCATTGTACTGAAAAACTTCCTTCATACAAATTGTAGCTATTGATGATCAACTTAATCATCATCAGCAGAAAGTTTTATGTTTTCTTTTCATATGTCAGGCATATCACGTGTGGAATAGTCGAGAGCATTTCATTTCTCACATAATAACGATTGGAATGAAAGTAGGGGATATTAGAAATTTTAATCATAAACCATTCACTCCTTTTCAAACTTCTTTTAAACTTCTAATATAGTCTGTCACCCCGGTCTGCGCGGCCTGCCATAATTACATTCGATATTGAACCATGATGAGTCCTGTTTCGCTTGAAGTTTTATATGATGGCTCTTTTTTGTCATATATTAATGACCTTTCTACGGTCATCTATTATATAATGGTTAACATACACGTACATATGCAGGTATGGAGGAACTGCACGGATGACTATGCATCACCGGTATCGATTTGGCATCCTCGGGCTCCAGAGGGATATGTGTCTCCCGGATGCATTGCTATGGCTAGTTTTATGGAGCCGGAACTTGACAAAGTGTGTTGCGTGTCCGAGTCACTTGCTGAAGAGACGGAATTCGAAGCGCAAAAGGTGTGGTCTGCTCCAGATTCTTACCCGTGGGCGTGTCACATTTATCAAGTCCAAAGCGACGCACTTCACTTTGTGGCTCTAAGGCAAACCAAGGAAGAATCTGACTGGAAACCTATGAGGATTCTTGACGATCCTCAGCCTCTTTTGCGATCTCTAAAAGAGAACTGAAATATGTGTGTTTATATTGTAAAGACCTTTTCCAAAAATTTTGTAGCTAGAAAAGGTCTCTCGTATACGGTGTTACTGTATAGCATATCGTCTGTCTTGTACAGTGTTACTGTACGGTACATCGTCTCTCGTATAGCGTTGGGTGCAATTTGTATCACGTTCATCTCTCTGTAAACAATTACCGGTTGATGTCTCGCTCAAGGTGATGATGAATCTCTCTCCTGGGAAGGGACCCGACTATTGTATGACACCACGATTGGATTCTGGTGGAGTCGAATGAAATTTTTTCACTTAAATACCAGTCTGGATTTTGGTTGCGTCGAGTCTTTCTGCTTATGAGTCAAGTGACTCAGGAATATCATTGGTTCCGTCACAAGCTTTTGCAGGGGGCGATCTCACCTATGAATCTTCAGTCTTTCAAATCGGGTGAAGTAGAATTCACCTTCATGCTGAAGCAACTTGGTCGTGAAAGTCAAGTTTTATGGAATCAAGCTCGAATCGGATGAGACCGATCGCACCTGACTCTCTTAACTAGATTTTTGGTAAATCAACGATCGGCTAGGGTTTATCTTCAACTTTGTTTTCTTAAAAACAGTAGCGTTAGTTGACTAAATAGTTAGTTGTTGAGGGGAGAGGTGGAATCGGATTGCAATGAATTTAGTTCTTGCAGATAAATGCTCAATACTCAGGTCGGCTTACAAAATTGATCATGATCAAATGCTTTATGGCTCGTCTCAGATCTTGCATCTGCCAAAGGGTTCTATGGTAGATTTAAAATTTAATCAGAAACACTAATTTAAGGAAGGGTATCATAGTATCACAGTACAAATTTATGTGTTGACTAAAGAATTTTTTACAAATAAAATAGTTTCTGAAAAACAGCGATGCACGTTTAATCTCTACGTTAATATATAGAATACACCTAATTAATAATCTAACATATTCATTCCTAATGTAAAAGTTCAATTCTTAATATATATTGATATATATTCATTCCTAATGTAAAAGTTCAATTCTTAATATATCTATATTGATATGTTGTATACACCTAATCAATAACCTGAAGCTTTACCACAATGGCGGAAAGCAATCAAGTGCGGGCTCAATCCCCAACAAATCCCCTCCCCCACCCCCCTAACAACTAATAGTTTAACCAAAAAAAAAAAAAAAGTTTAACCCACTACTAAGTAAAATTAAAAGCCTTATATATTCATTACTAATGTAAATTTTCAACTCATAAGATGCATATCCACACAAATGTAAAAGAAAGTTATAAATGTGTAGTTATTATTCACAGAAATTATAGCAAAATAACCAAAAAAATAAAAAATTGGTTTAGAATGTCTGACGTCTAAAGAAAACTTTATTGGTATACTCATGAAGTATTTTTAAACATATTTATATACAACAATATATTTATAAAAACGATTTGGGGAGAGGGGGCATAAATTGATTTCAAACTCGTCATCTGTAAAATTCGAACATAAAAATTCTTTCTAAGAAGTGAAGAGGAATACAACTAAATTGTACTACTAAGTGGCCATGAAGAACAAAGTTAATAAAGTTTTTAAACGCATAATCTCTAAGCTTCAATTATCTAATCACAGAGGATGGATTTTTCATATATTTACTCAAAAAATATTAAATTTCATCAATAGAAGTAACAAGTTATGTTGAAAATATACAAGCTCTCGACTAGAATTGTTGTAAAATTTTCGTTCTTTTACTAGAAGAATATAATTTATAGTAGGTGACTAATCTCACCATGTGTCAAGTTGGAACTCATGTCACATCCCGGTCCGGGTCCTCACCACATCCCAGGTTCGACTTCACCGTAGCACGATATTGTCCGCTTTGGGTCTCGACCACGCCCTCGCGGTTTTGTTTCTGGAAACTCATGCGAGCAGAACTTCTCGGTGGGTCACCCATCCTAAGAATGCTCTGGCCCCTTTCTCGCTTAACTTCAAAGTTCCTACGGAACCCGAAGCCAGTGAACTCCTAAAAAGCCTCGTGTTAGGTAGAGATGAGAATATACATACAAGGCTTACATGATGCACTCCCCTAGGCAATGTTAGGTAGAGATGAGAATATACATATAAGGCTTACATGATGCACTCCCCTAGACGATGTGGGATGTTACAACTCATGTTCTAGCTTCTTGAACTCGAATTCGCTAAGCAACTTCGTCATGAAAATGAAGTTTTATGGAATTAAGTTCTAATCGAATCACTGATTTACCAGAAATCTGAGTCGAGATGCCAACTCTCTATCTAGTTTTTTGGTAAATCAACGACCGACTAGAATTTACCTCCAACTTTACCAAAACCAAACAATACATTTCTAATGCAAAATATGAAATATATACAGTAATGGCCAAGGTATATACAGTGATCCAAAAGACTCTGTATTTAATAGGGGTAGATTTAAAATTTAATCTGAATCTACTAATTTATAGAAGGACATTAATTGTTATAATACTACTAGATCTACGAAATTTATATGTTGACTAAAGAAATTTTAAAAAATTAAATAGTTTTTGAGAAACATCGATACACGTTTAATTTGTACGTTAATATGTTGAATACACCTAATCAATAACTTAATATATTCATTCCTAATGTAAAAGTTCAATTCCTAATATGCATATACGTGCATCTCTATGTTGATATGTTGAGTACACCTAATCAAATAACCTTATATATTTCTAATATGCATATATTATCTACGTTGATATGTTGAATAAACCTAATAAATAATCTTATGTAAAGTTCAATTCCTAATATGCATATATGTGCTTATTAGTTTGATACCTAATTTTTCCAAGAAGTTAATCCCATTATCCTCATTTCTTTAATCCACATAATTGTAAGACAAAGTTGTAAATGTGTGATTATTATCTATAGAAAATTATAGAAACTAACAAAAAAAAAATCTGCACAATATTGTAGGCATCGGCTAAGCAGCCTTTGAAATAGTAAAACCAAGTCTACAGATTTGGGGTTGTGGGGGGCATTCTATGCTTGACGGGACAATATCATAGAGTGTTGGAGGGTTGGTTAAATCCTTATGATTTGCAAGGATTTTCCTTAAGACCGGCCCTGAGAATTTGGGGCTCTAAGCGAGCTTTTAAAGTGGGCAATAGAGTTTTCTGAATTCCGATCCTTTATACATTGATATGTATAAAACAAAAAAAACAAAAAAAAAATCGCTAAATACTTGAAAAAGTCTACCTCTACATCAAATATCATTAAAAGAAGAAAAATATATAAACATTACTTAAATATTACATGTCTTGCTTTTTAGATGCAAATGTACTAAATAAGTTTATATAATCTAATTTTCAACTAATTCGCTAACCCACTCAATCTGCAAATGGATGATGACATTGATAATCATTAGTTTTTATTTTTTATGTTTCCAACTTAACAATATTTCAAAATAAAAACCCTAAAATTGAATCCATAAACCCCTAAAAGATTGAGTTAGAAAATCCGTAAAATCTTTCAAATCCTAAATCCTTATAGTAATCCATAAACACCTAAAAGATCGAATCTCTAAATCCTTAAAATCTTTCAAATCCTAAATCCCTAGAGGGGGCACAGATTCAAAAATCCTAATTCCATTTATAAACAAGCTTACAAATTGAATTAAAGGAAAAAGAATAGGAAAGGGAAGCTGGAGAAGAAAAATAGTGACCTGACCTGTAGGAGAGGAAGGATATCGCCTACCAGTCGCCACCAAGTCGGACTGATTTGACCGAAAAAAGAGTCGCTAGCCTTGCTACCCAGTACATCAAATTCTAATATTTTTTTTATTGTTTATTGTTACAAAGTTACTTATTACGTTCAATAAATGAATGAACAGTTGGATTGAGAGAAAATAAACAAATATAAAAAAAAAATTGTGAAAAATTATTATTGCCTATGATTTTATTTTTTTGATAACTATTAGTTATAAAATTTTATATATATTATATATGTGTGCGTGTGTTTAAAAAAAAAAAAATGGGGGGCCTAGGTGGGTGTGTACTTCAGCCGGCCCTGATTGTCATATGGATAGGATTTATTGTTTCATCCTATCGCATTGCCAACTCTTCTTTTTCAATCAAAGTAGTTTACAGTAAAATATCGATTGTATTAAAAAATATCTATAGTTAATATTTTAATTTTTATAAAATAGTCCAAAAACAATTTTCAAGTTAATTTAGATTGATTGGATTACATTGGCTAACCAAGCTAAATACAAAGCCAAATAGGCCAAATTGAAAACACACATACAAAATTGGCCAAGTGTGTAAAACGCATGAACTATTTTGACACTAAAACCAAAATAGGACATTACTTGGCTCCTTGCAGTAGCAGAGCTAAAATTTTATGTGTGGTAGTCATTTTCCATTGTTGGCTAAATATGAGATATTTCCTATTTTTCATTCATTTCCTGCATTTTTTTTAAATTTATTTTTAAATTTGTATTTGTGATTCGTGAGCCCAAATTACTTAGGACATGTTTGGTATGCAATTATAATTCAATTTTTTAAACTCAAAAACAATTTTTGAGTCTCAAGTCAATGACTCTTGTTTGGTAAGACTATTTTAAAAAGTAGACTCAAAACCAACTTAAAAAATTAGCTTACTTACGAAACATTTTTGAAAATAATAAAATTTGAAAGTAGGATATCAAATGAACCCTTATGTTTTGGCCTTTCTTTTGGGGGGTTGGGAGGAGTATGCAATTGTTTTTTAACTGCACCATTCAATGTCATTTTAATTCCGTCCTTAATGTAAGGAGCTATTTTTTCTCACATAACGACATGACATCATTTCTCTCAACATATCTTCTCTTGCAAATTTTAACTCAATTTAAAGACTGTTTGACCATCTTTATGAATTAAATAAGTTGACAATCATGAAAATTTTCGATGTTCTAGGTACACAAACCTCAGCATGAGAGGTGGTGTTCCCCACGAGTTGGACTTCGACACCTGGCCTCTCTTCTTTATCAACCACAGCATGTGGCACTTTGGTTAAATCATTACTAATAAATGCTTCACAACTATTTATGCTTATAAACACCTACCGTAAGATTGATCCAATGGCTTCTAGGTTAATCTAATCCAATGACTAATTGACTGTTCATCACCCTTCTTCTTGGGCTGGTATGGTGAACCTAAAGTATTTTGTATGGTAGAAATTCCAGCCAGTACCTAGCAAAACCCAAGTTCACAAAACGGATCTCTACAGAAAAATATTATCTGCAGCCTTAGATTCTAGTATAAGGTTTAGGATTTGGAGATTTGTTTTGCCCAAACACAGCGGCGTCCTTGTCGCCAAATACAACACCATAATTTCCTACAGAAACTATGGATATGAAAATTATGCATATTAGATTCATACTCATTTGCTTCAATGTTTTCTTTCTTCTTTTGCTTATTCACTTTGTATCTCACTTTTTTGGTAATGACTGCATTCGTAATTGCTGTTTGATACTGTTGACCCTAAAAACTATCAAGCCTACGTGGCACGTAAGCCGAGTAATTAAAAAGCTAACTATGTCCTTCGGTTGTGTGCAAGGTGTGCCAACTCGACGGCCGAGCTCGGCCGATGAGTAAAATGAGTTGATTTTGCGTTGGGCGCGCTATTGATTTCTGAATCTCGCGACTGCGGCCGAGGAAGGAACATATCTCAGCCTTCGGGTCTTAGAGCCTGAAGACAAGGCTGCTAGTCTTGCGATGTTCACGGATCGTCGGTGTCGGGTTCGGTCACAATGATTATATTAATAAGAGTATAAGCACGTCGAATTGGCACCAAACTATATGGACACAAGTACTCAAAAGAGATGTATGTCTTGATGGTAAATGTGGTTCGGCCGTCAGAATCAGGACCTCGGCATTCCTCCACTGAAGGTCACCTCGGCTTTTGTAAGAACCTTCATTCTCCTTTATTAACTTCATGCTTTAGGATTCTAAACCAAGAAAATATTAAATGCCAGGTGCCCGATTACTCGTATCACCGAAAATTATATGCGCCGAAAGGTGTTATCTATATTTCATGGCCACCCCAGTGGATGTCGAATATGGATAACCTACATCCGCCACATGAATTAAGAGGTTCTCTAGGTTCAAGCAACAAGCCAATAGACACGGTCAAAATCTCCTATCGACAGGTCTTAGAGCAAACCTTTCTTTTTTCGGCTATTCTGACTTGACTTTTCTCAACATTTTTATTTTATATGCAGCCTTCGTGGGAAATCGAACTCAACGCCCTTCTTTCCAATTCTTTAGGGGCGGCCGGTTCTCTTGCTACTATAGTCAGACCCTTTGCATCAGCGATAAAGTCAAATACACTTACCAAGCTACATAGGCTCTTGTCTCTTTTAGCCTTTCAAATTCTCAAACACAAAAGGCTCGACTCTGTAGGAGAATGTTTGAACCACCTTGTAGTTGACGGCCTATTGAGCAATGAAACTATCACTCGCCTGTCTTCTACCCTGGAACAAACTCGAGAATATTTTAATATTTTCGAAAGAGCTCTTCGGGCATAAGATAACTTTAAGGCTGCATTGGTTGCTCAAAAGGCTCTTCGTCCAGAGGTTGAGGCGATAAAGGCAAAGAACGAAAAGTTGGCCGACCTCGATCGTCAAATTATCGAATTCCAACATCAGAGGTCAGCCATTGCCTCTGATCTCGCAAAGGATTTTGAGTCAAGCAAACCTTGTTTGATGAATATGCGGCTAGGGCGAAATGAATCGAGCAACTGAAGATGGACAAGAGAACTCGGCAAGCTGAAATCACAATGGGCAAAGTGAGGTGGTTAGAGTTGAAAACCGCCCTTGAAGCCTTTCTTCCTTCAACCTCTTAGAACTTTGTTTTTGTAAATTGGTCGATCAATTCTACTTGTACACCCATTTTGCAAAAATTAATGAAATGAACCATTTTGCAAAAATTAATGAAATGAACTTTTATTCTTACATCTCCCAAGTGACCAGATAGTATTTCTTTAAGAATTTTCCATTGATTGGTAGTTTATGAATTAGACCGATTCGATCTTTAAGGTGGTATGCCCCCTTGCCATGAACTTTATGAACAATGAACTCCTTCCCAATTTGGCGACCATTTCCTGAATCTAGGATCTTTAATTCCTACGGGTAACACGGTTTGCCAAACTAACTCCCCTTCGCCAAATGTTTTTTGTTTGACTCGTTGATTATAGGCTCGCTTGGCAATCTTTTTCTGCGCCACCAATAAATTATAAGCATCAAGCCGAACTTCCTCAAAGTCTTCTAAGTCTTGTCTCATGGACTGATTGTATTCGGCACTGAACATTCTACTTTGTTCAATTACTCGCGATGACTTTATACTTAACTCGACTGGTAACATCGCGTCGTGCCCATAAGTTGCATACGGGGTCATTCCTTTTGCTGATTAGAGTGAAGTCCGATATACCCATAAAGCCTCGTTCAACTTTAAATGCCATATGCCAGGTTTTTCTTTTATCATTTTTTCAAGAATGTCGATCAAAACTTTGTTACTGGCTTCGACCTGTCCATTTACTTGTGGGTAATATGGTATGGATTGTTTGAGTTGGACTTTCAACTTCGCCATATACTCTTTGAACCTATTGGTTGTAAAGATTGTGTCATTGTCAGTTATGATCGTTTTTGGCACATTGAATCTAGTCACAATGTTTTCTTCTACAAAATTGCAAACTTCCTTGGATGTTAATTCGGCATATGATTTTTCTTCGACCCACTTAGTAAAGTAATCGATTGCCACAAGTACCCATGCATGTTTTGCTGCTCTAGAAGATGGTGTAATTTTGCCAATTACATCCATGGCCCATCCTATAAACGACCATGGTTTGGTAACCGAGTGGAGTAATTCGGCTGGGATTCTCTGTATCGGCCCATAAATTTGACGTTGTACACACTTTCGTGCATACTCGATACAATCCTTCAATATACTCAGCCAGAAATAGCCGTGTCGGCGAAGCAACCAACGCATCTTACGTCCAGATTGATAAGCTCCGCAAATTCCTTCATGTATTTCCATAATTGTTTGGGCAGCTTCCTACTGTCCAAGGCACAATAACAATAAGACATCCTTACCTTTTTGATACAACTCATTCTAGTACGACACATAGTTTATGGCATGGACCCTTGTCTTCCAATCGTGTTTATCATTAGGGTTATCGAGATATCGCATAATCAATCTTCTCCAATCGTTTGGTAATGTCTCGATAGCACAAACATCTACAGAAACCTCTCGTTCCAACAATGAAGGTAGGGACATAACTCGAGGATAGATCATGTGATTGTGTTCAAGAACCTGGTGATTAACCAGGGCCTAGTGTGGTCGTCGTACTACTTGTATTACCCACCCTAGGTTGCCCCCCATGAGTTATGCTCCAGAGGCTATTTGTGCTAGTTCATCCATGTCAATATTTCGAACAAGTGAGATGTGCTTGAATGTGATTCTCTCAAATGACTCGGCCAAATAGTTGGCAACTATGTGGTATGGCGCCAAAGTATAACTCATGCAACAAAAAGTGCCATTGATTTGGTTAATCATAAGTTCTGAATCACCAAAGACGAGGACGCAGGCTGCTCTTAAGCCGTGAAGGACATGAAGGCCGATGATAAATGCTTCATACTCGGCTGGATTGTTCGTGCAATTAAAATCTAGCTTGATAGAAAATACCAGCGGTAGTGATCTGGGGATTGAATGACAATGCCAACATCAGCCGAGGCCGATGTACTAGAGCCATCAAATACATCATCCAGTAATTATCATGTGTTTCCACCATGCTGGTTTCGACATTGCTACCCCCGAAACCATATATAGAATGATGTTGAGCTAAGAAATTGGCTAATGCTTGTCCTTTGACGGCTTTCTGTGGCACGTATTGCAAGCTGAATT